CGGACTGGGGCCCTGCTGGTTAAAGCGCATCTCTTCAGCAGAGCTCCAAGCTGGGCCCCTGAGAATTAGCACCACACTGTACAGCACAGACCTCCAAGTGGGCCTTTATGAGTTAGAACCAGACCACAGAGCCCTGAGTTGGGCCTGAGCATGCTGGAAAGGGCACTCGAAATCTAACCTGGCCACTGTGGCTACATGCCTGGGGTAATGTGAAGCTACAGAACTCTGACAATCATTCCTTTCTGCATCAGGGTCGTCAGTGCTGTCAGAATAACACAAAGTCAGTAAAGTTTTTCACACATCAAGTTTATTGAAAATGGCCAAACACATTACATTTGATGGTCCAGCACTTTACAAAAGATGTTTCTGCTTGTGGAGGAAGAAGAGAACACGTCAGCATCAGACAATCACTAATAAATCCAAATGAGAAATGGCTTTACCCAGTGAACACAGAACAGTCCAGGAACAGGTCCATCAGCCCACCATGCCTGGGCTAACTATGGTGTCATTCTAAACAAATCGCACTGACCTGCACATGGTCCGTATTTCTCTATTTGCTGCCTGTTCATGCGTCTGTCTAAATAATTCTTAAACTTTACTCCAGTCCAATGGGGAGAATGTGGAACTTACTTTCAGTGGGAGTGGTGAAGCTGAAAATGTAGATGCATTTATGGTGAAACTAGATAAATACACACCAGAGAAGGAATCATCAGCTGGTGATAGGGTGAGATAGAGTGGGTGAGAGGGGAGGGGAGGCTCATCAAGCATAAATACCAGCATGGAGCAGTTGGGCTAAAGACAGAGTGGATAGGTTGGCACTTTTGTCACTGGCACGGAGGAGATTGAGAGGTGACCTTCTAGAGGTTTATAACGTTGTGAGGGATTTACATACGGTTAATGGTAGGTGTCTTTTCCCTAGGGTGGGGGATTTCAAGGTCTTTTCCTCAGAGTAGGGGAGTCCAAAACTAGAGGGGCATAGGTTTAAGCTGAGAGGGGAAAGATATAAAAGGGACCTGAGGGGTAACTTTTTCAGGCAGAGGGTGGTGCATGTATGGAATGAGCCGCCAGAGGAAGTGGCGGAGGCTGGTACATTGACAACATTTAAAAGGCATCTGGATGGATATGTGAATAGGAACGGTTCAGAGGGATATGGGCCAAATGAGACTAGATTAACGTAGGATATCTGGTCGGCATGGGCGAGTCGGAGCGAAGGGTCTGTTTCTGTGCTGTACAGCTCTATGACTCTAAGTGAAATACTGGCACAGACTGTCACATATAAACAGGAAACGTACAAATGAGCAGGTGAGGCAGACAGGCATCAAGTAAAATACTCTCTTAAAGCTGGTGTGAACTCAATGGGCTGAATGGCCTCCTGCACTGGAACAAGTTGTACAACTCTATGACAATGGAGGAAGAATCGTGAGAGTGGAATTTTGAAGTTATTAGATAACTCTAAAGAGCCAGCAAGGGCACAAGTCAAATGAGCCCCTTCTTTACCATGTTTTTCGATGATGCTACGATACACTTATCCTTTCTGATCATAAATGTGCAAAAAAAAACCTGATTTGAACTTACACAAAGCTGGGAGTGGTTCCACCAAGTAAAGTGGTGAGCTGATAGACTGGCCAAGGGGTGTTCTCACTGGAATTCTCGTTCTGTTGAGGCTGTGGGTGGAAAGATTTCACAACACTGACTGTTTGAACTGTGAATGCTCAGCAGTACAATCACACTGTCTGTACTCACCCCAAGTTGCTGTCTGCCCACAGAAAGCATTTTGTTCTCTGGGTACAGTGCAGTCATGGTTGTGGCCCTGGACTAGCACAGGTTCATCACATATGGAGGGCCATTTGTGAAACTGAATTCAGCAAACTGATCCTTTGTGGGCTGGTAGACAGAGAACGAGAGAATAAAGCATTCAGTGATTTCTTTTTTTTAAGCTGACCTGCCCTAACGTAGACCGTGTAGCTAGGCCGCTTCTAACGTCTGTGGTCAGACTTTGGTCATCTCTCCTGGGCCCAGCAAGGCACTCGATTGTCCAGACAACTGGAGGAAAGCGCGGGTTCGTCGAACAACATCCAGCACTGAGCTCAAGTGAAGTTGCTGCTCTGCCAGTGCCTGCCTCTGCCCAGCCTCAGCCCACTTGCTGAGGCTCTCATCTGTGCCAACTACCACCCCCGACCCCCACACATGACTATCCCAGCCTTCACCTGGCCAGCCACCTACCCTGAGTAAAATCCACAAATATCACTCACTCCGACATCTCATCCACCAGTCATCCTCCTGTTCACTGCCTTGCACTGGCTTCTGGCCCAATAACACCTTCATTTTAAGCAGGTCACGGAGACGTACAGCACGGAAACAGACCCTTCGGTCCAACACATCCACACCAACCCGATATCCTAAATTAATCTAGTCCCATTTGCCAGCATTTGGTCCATATCCCTCTAAACCCTTTCTATTCACGTACCCATCCAGATGCCTTTAAATGTTGTCATTGTACCAGCCTCCACCACTTCCTCTGGCAACTCATTCCATACACGCACCACCCTCTGTGTTAAAAAGTTACCCCTCTGATCCCTTTTAAAATCTTTCCTCTCTCAGCCCTCAGCCTCCAAAACTCCAGGTAAATAAGCACCGGCCTATTCAGCCTCTCCCTATAGCTCAAACCCTCCAACCCCGGCACCATCCTTGTAAATCTTTTCTGAACCCTTGCAAGTTTCACAACATCTTTTCTATAGCAGGGAGACCAGAATTGAACACAGTATTCCAAAAGTGGCCTCACCAATGTCCTGTACAGCTGCAATGTGACCCTCCCAACTCCTACACGCAATGCACTGACCAATCAAGGCAAGTGGACCAAACAATACCTTCACTATCCTGTCTATCTGCAACTTCACCTTCAAGGAAGTATGAACCTGGACCCCAATGTCTCGTGGCTCGGCAAATTGAAATAAGCATAAAATGAGAGAAATATTCAGCGCAGGCTGCACCTGTGAAAGAGACAGAGTGAATGTTTCAAGCCAGCAATGAAAAACAGAAATTTAAGCCAGTGGAAGGGAGGGGAACAACAAAAGACAAGGCCTGGAACAAGGCATAGGGCTAGAGAGATTAATAAACAAAAGATTTCATGATGCAAAAGCTACAGAGTGTGGTAATAGATATAGCAGAGAAAGAGGAGGTGTGAATGATTCTACAGCACCAGCAGCCGAATGCAACTTGCAAGGTTAAAGGCAAAACAAGTCAGCAAAGGGAAAAACCCTTTAAAAAAACAAGATAGAACAGATGATCCAAGTGTGTTTAATGGAGCCCAGTATGGCAAGACAGATGAAATGTTGTTCTTCAGGTTTGTGGTGGGCTTCACTGGGACACTGTAGCAGGCCCAGGAAACAGAGAGGTCAGGGTAGCAGCAAGATGAGGAGTTAAAGCACCAAGCACCAGAAACCCAGGGTCACATTTCTGGAATGAGTTGAGTACTCTGCAAAGCAGTCGCCCAGTCTACTTTTGCTCTATCTGGTGTACAGAAGACCACATCATGAGCAATAAATAAAACCAACCATATTGAAGGAAGCACATGGACATTTTATTTGAAAGGAGCGTTTAGGCCTTTGGATGCAAGGTGGCAAGAGGTGACCTGCACTGAAAAGTATTGTACTGAAGAGAGGAGGGAGTTAGGGTGTCTGAGGAGTGGATTACAGCATCACTGGGGAAACTGTCCCCTTGGAATGCTGAAGAGGGAGTGGGAGATGTACCTTATGGTGGAATCACATTGGAGTTGGCAAAAATGGTGCAGAACGGTTCACTGAACGTGTGAGCCGGTGGGGGAGAACAGGAGGACCACGGCAACCCTACCATTGTTCAGGGAGGACACGTGTAAGGCTAAGGGCCAAGTGCTGGAAAATGGGATGAGAATGCCCATAGAATGGAGGACGTGAGTGGAGTTGGAGTAGAAGTTGTTCCAGGGCAAGAACAAAGTCAGCCAGATGGAAGAGGGTTGGGGTTAATGGGAATTGTACAGGCCACCTCTCAAGGAAGAAGCAGAGACCTCAGAGTGTGCTCTGGCCAAGGATGGAGATGTAGAAGTATTGGACATCCACAGTGTAAGGGAAACAATTAGGTCCATGAAACGAGGGACATAGGTCATTGGAAGATTCATAGATGTAGGTAGGAAGAGACCATACAAAGGAAGTAGTAAGTGGAGTGAGATAGGACCAACCTGAAACAATGGTTTTGATTTATGAGTTTTGGGAAGGCAGCAGGGGCAGGCTGTTCTGTGTTGAAGGCTGCGGAGGCAAGATCCCCAGAGGAGTGACGTCAGTGACAGACCTGGACACAGTGGCTTGAAATCCAGTGGCAGATTCCTGGTCCACAGGAGATGCAGGAAAATGTTGGAGGGATGCTGTTTGGCTTCTGCAAGATAGAGGTCAGTACACCAGAGGACCACAGTGTCATCAAACCTGCAAATGAGGATGACGATATCAGGGTCGGGCATGCAAGAATGGACTGCAGCAAGTTCAGACAGAGTCACATCTGAGTGAGTGTGAGGGGAGCACTGAAATCGAGACAGTCAATCAGTCAATGTCCCGTCAGCAGTTCCCAAGTCTACTCCGGAAGATTGAACCGGTCATCTAAGCTGACCCAAGCGAAGGTTGTGCTGTCAAAAGGTGACAACTTTCAAACAAGATGCCAAACTTATAGCCCAATAGTCTTCTCAGGCGGAACAAAGCAATCCGTGGTATCATTCAAAGAGAAGCAGTGAGTGCGCCCCAGAGTGTTCGGGTCAAGACTTGACCCTGAACTAACATCTCTAAGAACAGATGATCTGTTTCTTACATTGTGCACTAAACCTCCTGACTGTAAACCACGAAGGCACCCAGGGGTCATCAAAAGATGCTACAACTGCGTGGAATTCTCAAGCCAGACAGCTGCCATGCTCAGCTGTTGACTACATTCAACATTAAGATAATTTAGATTTATTAGTACTTAGGGAATGAAGAGACTATTGGAATAGAATGGGGACCAATATGCTATGACTGCAGTTATACCAGCTCTGCATTATTTGACAAATGGAACAAGAAAGAAAATCCAGCTCTCAATATCATTATGGCAGGAAAGGAATAATGGATTTTAAACTAGTTTTAGTTGACAATACAATTCCTCTAAAAATGCCTTGTGATAACAGATGACATTGGGAAAATAGTTGATTTCTTTTATTGATACAATGCTTTAGCCCAGTGCTTATCAAACCTCTTCCACCATGACTTCATTTAGGGTTGGAAATTGTTTGTGGACCCTCAGCGAGCACAGAGTGGGATAGGTGGGATAGGTGGGATAGGTGGAAGGGCAGGGAGCAGCAGAGCTCCACATCATCCACCAATGCTTTGTAGCTTAAAACCCCAAAATTTCAGCTACTGACCCCCACCTGGGGAAGCTCAGCTGCAGCCAAAGCACACCTTTGGGACAGGGGCAGGTTCACATAACAGAGAAAGGCAAGATATTTGAACCCACAGCGGCTCAGTGGTTAGCACTGCTGCCTCTCAGCACCAGGGACCCGGGTACAATCCCACCCTTGGGCGACTATCTGTGTAGCGTTTGCACATTCTCCCTGTGTCCGTGGGCTTCCTCCAGGTGTTCCAGTTTCCTCCCACAGACCAAAGATGTGCAGGTTAGAGTGGATTGGCCATGATAAGTTGTCCCATAGTGTCCAGGGATGTGCAGGTTAGGGTGGGTTAACCATGGGAAATGCAGGGTTACAGGGATAGGGGAGGGGGCTGGATCCAGGTGGCATGCTCTTCAGAGGGGCGGTGTCGACTCAATGGGCTGAATAGCCTATTTCCACACCGTTGGGATTCTATGAAAAAGCACAAGACTGACAGACCTGAAAACCAAATGAAAATGGGAGAGACTGGAGAGTTCTCAGCCTCAACAGGTTTGAAAGAGGACCTCAAAGTGTGTCTCGGCAGAGGAAAAACAAGGCCCCACTGGGCACAGGATACACAAATCTGTCTGTTTTCAGGGCGTGGTGGTGGGGTTATTAGAAAGCCAAAAAGATGCTGCTTCCTCGACTGGGATCTATTTTAGGAATTAAACTCTCCCAAAAGAATGCATGAATCATAACATTCCTATAGACCTAAACTCCAACAGCAAGAACAGAACAATCACAAAAAGGGAAACAGCAGTGAGACCGTTTATCTAGTCCTCTTCCCAACTAGCCTCTCCTCATCCATCATCAGAATGATTCAAGTTGTTTAGCTACAAGGCCAAAAGCCTTTATTTTTAAAATAATATCGTGCAAAGCCAAAGCCAGGACTATTAAAAGCTGTTATAAATCCAGTATGCATTCTCCAGAATGTCTATTTTAACACAGATGTCATCATCCTACCATCCATGTTTTTTTTGGGAGGGGGATGGTGTGCTGCCTGTATACAGTGTATTGGAGCAGATGTGTGGCAGGTTCTGCCGCAGGTGGAGTGATATTTTTGGCTATTGTTGTGGACAGTCTTGTTTTGCCCGGCTTTGACACCAGTTGCCAAGTGACGGCTAGTTACGGTACTACATACCAGTGCCACAGGGCATTTCCTTCACTCATTGGCTAGTCTGTCTCAAGTGTCGAACTTTAGTGCCACTATGTCATGTGGGCAAGTGTCCGTGGAGCAGAGTTTTGGCCAACCTTCTGCCTTCCTCACAATACTGAAAATCTTTGGAGCATATCTACCTTCCATCCTGCAGGCACACCAAGCCAGCAGTAGTCTTTGCTTGGGGGGGGCATGACTGTACTTGGGGGCATTTGCTTTCAAAGGGACTGCTGCGTTTCCGACCTTCCACGAAATGTGCAGAATGCAAACAGCATCAATCTTGCTGCAGTGTTCCAGCGAAGCCCAACGCAAGCTGGAGGAACAACATCTCATTTTCCACGTGGGGGCCCTACAGCCCTCCAGACTCAATACTGAGTTCAATAATTTTAGGGCCTAAACTCTCCCATGGCCCAGCCCTCTACCCCACACACCAGGCCTTGTTACCACACAGCCTGCTATTACACACCCCCTGTTGTTAGTCACTAACAGTCCCCATTAGCAACTATTCACCCTTCCAGCTTGATCGTTAGCAACTCCTTTGTCTGTCCAACTGTCTCTCTCTCTCTCTCTCTTTGGGCTCTGTCCTATCATTTACTCCCTACCCCACCCACCTCCCTATTTTCTGCATATAAACTGACGTTTTCCCAGCCACCATCAGTTCGAAGGAAGGGTCACTGGACCCAAAACGTTAACTCTGGTTTTTCCTTTACAGATGCTGCCAGACCTGCTGAGTTTCTCCAGCAACTTTGTTTTTGTTGTGAGCAATCAAACATGTTCACCTTCCTTTCTCACGATTTCTAACGCATCCATGATCCAGCCACTACAGGCACTTAGAACAAAGGCCTCATCAAAAACAGCTCAGTCCCGTGAGTAAGCTTGATGTCATTACACAAGCGGTTTTGAGAGTCGGGAAAAGGTGGTAGCTGTTTTCCCCGCGGATGTATCCTATACACTTCAAACATCTGTGGCTGAGATTTCAGAAACCATTTCTGTAAACCGCTGATATCATCATCAGCCAGCGACAACAGAAATCAAAAATATTGGGAACATCCAATCAGAGTGAAAGAAAGGATCGACAATAGGCCATCATCTCAAAAATGAATGTATTTATTCTCTTCTAATCTTGTTAAATGAGCTGTGAAATTTCCAGCATCTTCTCTTTCGTGTTTGCAGTAATCATTATTCTGAAATTATTTCTAACATAAAGTGACCTGGCTTTTCAGGAACAGAGGTGGCCATTTAGCGGGAACCTGCTCTGGCATGCATCAAGATCATTTCTAATTCTGTATCCTATCTCTACCTTGGTTGTAATTACACCCATGGCTAATTAAAATCTCAGATTTAAAATTATCAACTGAACTGGCAAACCAATGTGTGTGGGAGAAAGTTCCATACTTCTAACACCTTTAGGATTTAACCATCTTTCCTAAGGGTCCGGAAATAATTTTAAGATCGCGCCAACCTCCCTTTCCTACCAGCAGAACCATTTTATGTGTTTGTCTCTGACACACAAACAAAGGCAGCAGGAATAGGCCATTTATGAAAGGCAGTGGCATAGTGGTGATGTCAAAGGACTACTCACCCAGGCTGACGTCCTGTGAACATGGAGATTGAATCTTACCACAGCAGACAGTAAGATTTTAATTCAGAGTCATACAGCACAGAAACAGACCCTTCAGTCCACCCGGTCCATGCTGACCATAATCCCAAAATAAACTTGTCCCACATGACTGCACTTGGCCCATAACTCTCCAAACCTTTCTTATTCATGTGCTTATCTAAATGTCTTTTAAACGTTGTAACTGTACACACATCCATCACTTCCGCTGGAAGTTCAATCCACACATAAACCACTCTGTGTAAAAAAAAGTTGCCCCTCAAATCCTTTTCAAATCTCTCTCCTCTCACCTTAAAAACATGCCCACTAGTCTTGAAATCCCACACACGAGGGAAAAGGCACCTGCCATTCACCTTACCTGCACTGCTCATGATTTTATTAACTTCTATAAGGTCATCGCTCAACCTCCTACGCTCTGATGAAAAAAGTCCCAACCTATTCAGCCTCTCCTTATAACTCAAACCTTCCATTCCCGGCAATCCCCTGGTAAATCTTTTCCGAGCCTCTCCAGCTTAATAATATCCTTAAAACAGGTCGACCAGAACTGTACACAGTCAATAAACTAATCTAACAAGACCCTATAACTACCTTCAACTGTTGTAAGAACCCACTTGATTCACTAAAGTTCTTGGGGAAAGAAATCTACCAGCCTAACCTGCTCTGGCCTCTGTGACTCCGGACCCACATTCAATATGATTGATTCCTAACTACGCTCTGGGCAATAAGGGATGGAAATAAATTTCTAGCCTAGAACATCTGATCTGATTGCGGTCGCAACTCAAACTCCCATCAATCCCCAAGAACATACAACTTCCTTGTTGATCAATAATCTAACTACCACTGACTTAAAAATATTCAATGATTCCAGTTTCCCCACTGTTGAGAAAGGAGAATTAAAAAGACTCATGACCCATGGAGGGAAAAAAATGTTCCGCTTACCTCCAACTCAAAAGGAACCCCTCTTATTTGCAAACCGTGTCCTTGATTCTGTCCTTCCACAAGTGAAAACATCCTTTTGGCACTCATGTTCCCTCAGGATCTTCGACGTTTCAGTCAGAAAGCCTTATGTTCCTAAACGCTCATGGATACATTCGTAAGATCACCTCTTCTCCCAGTTATCAATCAAGTGATCCTTCTTCGGACGGCACTTATATCCTTCTTTTTAAGAAAAGGAAACCAAAACTGCACATACTATCCCAGATGAGACCTCACCAACGCACTGTACAATGAAAGAAAGCCATTTGTACTTTTGTATTCCACTCTCCTTGCAATGAATGCCAACATCATATTTGTCTTCTAATTACTTAACTTATTCACTAACGTTGTCACTCAGGTTCCAGGAGACCTAGATCTCTCTGTACATCAGACATCTCACTATCTCCTTTTGAATGATATGCTGTCATTCTATTCATCCTGACGAAGTGGACATGTTTTCCCACATTATTCTCCATGTGTCAATGCTTTCTGTATCCCTTTTCAGACACTATGTCCTCTTCACAACTCACTTTATTTAATGCTGTACCATCAGCAAATTTAGCAAAAATACACTGGATGCCTTCATCCAAATTATCAATACAAACTGTGGCACGTTAAGGCACCAGCAGCACTTGTAATGACCTACCAAACCAAAAAATGACCTATTTATCATTACTCAGCTTCCTTGTAGCTAACCAATCATCCACCAGTTCTAATGTGTTAATCCCTACACCATGAGCTGTTATTTTGCACAGTAACCTTTGATAAGGTGTTACATCATATGCATCCAGGAAATCCCAGTACAGCACTTGCTTGCTGCTTCCTCAAAAGGCTCAAGTAAGTTAGACAATTTTGATTTCTCTTTCACAAAACCATGTTGACTCTGCCTAGGTTTAATATCCTGTTGTTAGCACAACATGACAACACTTATCTTGCTGACCGAACACTACAAATCTGGATAAAGGTATTAAAAGACAGGCTTCCGATTCACTAGTAACTTACGTCACTGCAGCACAACCCATAGCGTTATACAGCCACTGAAGATTCTTTACAAGAGCTGTCACTATCATAACGCAGGAAACCAATTTTCACGTAGCAAACTCCCACAAACAAGATAATAAGCATGCCATGCATTTTTGTAATATTGGTTGGGAGATAAATATTGGCCCCAGGGAGAACTCCCCCATTCTTCTCTGAATAGACATGATGGGATCTTTAATATTAACAAGAAGACTTTGGTTCGAGTCTCACCTGAAAGTGGCATCTCTGGCACTGCAGCACTCCCTCAGCACCGAACTGAAGTGTTCACCAGAGCTAAACTCGGGGCCAACAGCTCCCCAAATACCCTGGAACAGCGATACAAGAGGGATTCTAACAACACAGCGGTCCTAATTCAGTCTCCCTGAAAAACTGCAACAAAAATAGAAGTTGCTGGAAAAGGCTCAGGTCTGTGGAGAGAAATCAGAGTTAACATTTCGGACCAAGTGGCCCTTCCTCAGAAATACTGACTGTGCCTTACACCTCTGGCACTGTGCTCTGTTAAATAAGCTGTCAAAAATAAAACATATACAGCAGAACAGGAAAGGTTACTCTAACAGGAAACAACTGAAAGCGCAAACTTGTAATGGCCTTAAACTATTCAACCATATAATAGAGTGAGAAAGAAACATATTAGCTTTCTTGGTTTTAAAAAACACAAACATGGGAGCTTACCCTGTAGGGCAAGTTACACCAACAGTGTCAAGTGTGGGCACTCCTGACAACAGAAGAGCTGATTTTGTAGCAAAGAGATTTTTGTTTTCAAACTAACCTTGGCAGGTTTGAAGTCTCAGGAAAATTTGGACTCTCCACCCTCAAGAAATACTTTGAAAAGATGGTAATGGACATTTTTTTTTGTTTTCTGATAAACGTGGGTCAAATGAATATTTGAAGTAAAAAAAGAACATTTTTAAAAGCGTTTTTGTTTCGACAAAACACCCAAGACAGTTTGAACACGAAAGGGAAAAACTATTACGACACACTTTGCCTGGAGATATTTGGCTGATTTTTTTTTAAGGTTAGTAGGACAGCAGTGGGGGTGACTTTTTAAAAAAACAATTGAGGAAATGAGTGACTAAATGGATCTTATATTTTTAAAAGAAAGAAATTAACTTTGTCAAATTAAAAACAAAAGTTGGGGGGTGGGGGGGGGACGGATGGACCAAGTTCATTGTTGTTCAGGAGCTGCCTCTTGAAATAACTCGCCTCCATTTTCTCGTTGAATGTACAAGAGCCAGAGGGAGGGAAGGACTCGATCAGGAACATTTCCACAAAATGTCTCTCCAATTTTTTTTTAAGAATCCGAAACTAACTCCATACAAAGGCAAACAAACAAAGCGCAGCCACTTACAAAGTGGCGGTAGATCCGTTCCCCCCCACCACCACCAACTCAAACTCTCCCCCCACCCCGGTGTTCGGCATCCAACTACCACCACCACCCCCACCCACCCCGCCTCCTCCAGTCAGGCCTCGGGTCGAGGCTTCCAGCGGGTTTTCCTAGCGGCGCCTCACCGCTTCATCGACGGTCCGACCCGGGGCGCCTCTTTACGCCAGGCCGAGGCTTCGCTGAGGTACCGGGTATTTTTTTCCGACAACGACGACTGCGGTTTGAGGAGGTGGAGCGGGGGGGGGGGGAACAGGTCGACTTCGGGTGGGGAGATCGAGTAGCGGAAGAGTAGAATCAGCCGATCTGGGATGGGATCCATTGGGCTGGATCGGGTGACCGAGTGATGAAGAGGCCCCGGCGACGGCAAACGCGGCCTAGGCCTCAGGCTCCACAAACGCATCCAAGCAGCTCGAGCCACCAGTCGCTCACTTTCTCTCTCTCGCAGTCTCTCTCTGGGTCCACAAAACACTTCGGCGGCGCTCGGGTATTTCCGTCGCGGCGCCGTCCATCCGGTAAAGGGGGCGGGCCCCCGATGATTAATGAGATGCGACGAGCCCGACCAATCGCCGGCGCCCCGGCCGACTTTTTTCCATACGCCGGCGTTCGAGCCCGTGCGGTGCCGGGGCAGGTAACCCCGCGGCCGCCTGAAATCTATATAAAGCGCCGCACAAGCACTGGAGCCTTCAGATGCGCTTTGAGCGCACCCGGAGCAGGAGGGAAAAAAGGGGAAGGGGATAAACTGTTGCAGGGGCGGGCTGGTCACTTCAAAGGCTAGCCCACAGTTGGGAAGGCTTACCGGTGCGATTGTACCTGTTTCGTCTCGGAAAGTAGGGGTTTTTAATAGTTATCGGTTTTTAAAAAAAAAAAATAAGGTTTTATTTCCCTCTCCCTCCACCCCTGACGAGACGTCGCTTGGCTTCTGGGAGTTTGAACCATGCAAGGACCTCCTTCCGGAGACAGCGCATGCCCACTGCGCACCATCAGAAGGGTCCAGTTTGGCATCCTCAGTCCAGATGAGATGGTATGTACTGGGTTTGGTTTCTGCCTTGCTAAAGATGTAGAGAGGGAATTTGAAAGACTTTTTTCTATTCTTTTGAATTGTAATTTTTTTTAATTCAAATTGCCACTGCTAGCTAATTGCATTCGAGTTTTTTTTTGTTTTAATTTGTGTAATGCGTTTCACTAAGTAGGGTAGGAAGCCTTGGCTTCTAGTCCTTCCTTCCTTCCTTCCTTCCCATAAATAATTCAGACCAAGACTTTGCATGCATTTTACAGCTTTTTTTATATACGTTTTTATATTTGAGACTTTTAATAAGTACATTATGGTTTGCATGTTAAAATTATTCACTGGATCGCTCTTGGGCTAACTGCTGTTTAAAGTGCCTTTTTATACTGGATGCCTTCCCTCCTGTTCTCTTCTCTCTGCCTTCCTTCCCCCACCCCATCTGATTTCTTTTAGACCTTCTTTTCACTATAGAGCTCAGCTTTACATGTGGCATGGTTTTGGACTGTTGCCAGTTCAGTGTTGGTTTTTTAACTTCTGGAGAAAGTGGAGCCTTGTACACTTCACCCATCCAGTTGTATAATCCCCCTTTCATAACAGGTTTAAAGGGATGTTGTCTTGGACCAGCGAATGTTCTTTTCATTGAGCCCATGAATTATTGCCTTGACTTGTGGAATTCAGTTATTGTGTCGCAGAAGGATTTTTGTTTTTTTAAATAGTTAAAGCTATTGTGCAAAAAGTCTCATTCTTAGGCTACCTTTTCAGAATCTCTCTCCCAGTTTTTGAAAGCAATCAATCTGCAAGCTATTAATAATTTAAACACTGCTATTCTGACAGGACATGTCCTGAAATTTTTAACCCTTTCTCTCCACAGATGCAGCCTGACCTGTTGAGTTTTTAGCACTTCCTATTTCACTTGAGCTTGACCTATGAAAGTGCTCACTGAGCTTTTCCATGTTAGTGTCACCTTAAAATGCCACAAAGTATTGCTTTTTTTTCCCCCCAAGTTAATACCTCACGAAGCCCTCTGGGCATAGTTCTTGAAGTTAAGTAAGCTGCCTTTGCTGGCAGACTGTAATTTTTTTTTCTCTCTCATTTTGGTGCAACAAGTTGGAGGCTTGATATTTGAGCTGGCCTAGTTGATCCGGCTCCAGCTGATTCCACCTAGGTTCCAGTTTAAGTTACCCCACCTCTTTCTGTAATGTACCACAAATCAAGCTGTAAAACCAGCTTAAATCATAGTTGCCATTTCAATCCAGAAAACTGGATGTAGATGGTACCTCTTCCTCATTTAACCAGTGAAGATATAGGCTGAAGTTAGATGAGTTTTTTAGACTTGCTTGAAACCTTGATGTCCTTTTACCTGCGTTATTTTTGTGATCTTTCAAGGATTATAGAAACATGACTGGTAGGTGTCAACATGACCCAATTGAGTGTTGGAGCAGACTCCAGCCTGAATTGAAGGAAGTGCTCTTCCAGTTGGATAATCTCAACATTTCTTTTGAAGTTGCTTGGAATTTTGAAAGTGTTGAGTAAAGTGCTTTGTTTCTCCGTCCTGACCTTTCATTCCCCCCTTAACTACCACAAATGGGGTTCCACCATAACAACATCCAATGTTCTGCAGGGTGATCTAATCCTCCACCTTGGACCTTCCACTGCTGCTGCGAGTATCTGAAATGGTGTTTCAACGGTAATCAGAAGACTGGAAATGCTTACGCTGCTGTTTAGCAGGGACAGTTTGGAATGTTATCTGCAGCTGTATATTGACGTAGAGTGTATGATGAAAGACTGCTTCATGGTTTAACATGTTGAAATGCTCTCAATTGCACCTGGCGTCTTGGACCTCCTCCTATCTGTGCTTCTCTGGAGCCTTACTCAGCCCCAGTACATTCCTGACACCAGGGAAGTCTGCAAGAATAATATGTAGAGTTGCACAGCTCAGTTCCATTGGTGGTGTACAAGCCAGACCCAAACTTGCTGAAATCCAGGCAACAGTTCTGGATTGATGCATGTCCTGCTTGAGGTATTCTGGGAATGTTCGTCATGGCTGCTGAGTGTGAAGTGCTGTAAATGTACGAAGATTTGTTCTTCACGGGGTATATTAACATGATTGTATCCTTGAGTTTGTGAAGCATTATTTTATAATAAAGCAGAAATTGCTAATTGAACTCTTTATGTTGCAATTGTTTTGTATTCGCCCTATTCTTGCTTGCCCACACCATTGCCAGTTTCAAAACAATAACCCTTTATGGTTGTTATTGGACAGAATCCATTAAAGTGGAGTGCACATTTCCCCTCCCTCCAGCTTAGCTCTTCATACTCAGTGCAATAGTCCAGGCTAATCTGCATATGTTCTTTGCATCCAGCCTTCTGAAAGTGCTGATTAGTTCCCATATCTACTAATGTATTTCCATAATGCACTTTACTACAGCAATCATTCCAGGAGTGAATCTCAGTTGAAATTCAGTTACACGAGCACTTTTTTCCTTTTCTGAAGAAGGGTCTAGGCCCGAAACGTCAGCCTTCCTGCTCCTCTGCTGCTTGGCCTGCTGTGTTCATCCAGCTCTAAACCTTGTTATCTCTCAGCACATTGACCAATTGGGTTTTAGAGATGTTTAGGGAGGAATTTCAGAGCTCAGACAGTTGAGGACATTGTTACCAACGGTGGAGTGATGGAAATTGGAGAATGGATTCCCAGAGTGTGTAGTGGCTGGGGGTGTTAGTGATGGAGGAAGCTTGAGGCTATTGGAGGGAAGAAGCAGACGACCATTTTAAAGTTGAGGTCTTGATGGGCCACAGGCTAACCTATGTCTGTGAAGGGGGAGAAGTGGGTATTGAGAAGACTCTGCCATAGATACAGGCAGTAGAAGCTTGGCTGTAAACTTGCAAAACCTCCAAGCTAGGTTTGCATTCTGTTATTTTGCAGTAAATGCTTTTTATGCAGTTGGAGATGTTGCCAGTACAGTGTTTATTAAACTTTGCAGCACAGATGATCATTCAGTCTGTCAGCTTCTCTTTTGACAATTCCTCACACTTATCCCTCTGATCCCCACAGCCCTGCAAAATTTTCACAAAGTAAAAATCCAGTTCTACGCAAGTTAAGAATCTGCCTGGATCTCTCACTGTATAGTGGTGACCAGCTTTAATGATAGCTGTAGACTTACTCTAATACAGCCATCTGTAATTAAGCCTAACTTACCTTTAAATTCATGATCTTCCCTGGCCACAACTTTTGCAAGAGACTTTATTTGGTTTGAGTTGGCAAAAGGGTTTCATCCTTGCCATCCAACTAATTTCCTGCATGTTTTCTGCCTTTCAGATCCCTACCCAGTGATTCATGGCTCATTCCATGTTATTTGGCTCTGTTTTGAGAGGCTGCAGAGGTTTACCAAATGCCCTTCCCAGTGATGAATAACTTCATTCTGAGTGGTTGCAGAGCTGGGACTGTGAGCAGAAAAGCCCAAGGGAAACTGAATAGATGTGCTCAAATCATGAGTAGCTTTGATAAAGTAAACCTGGAGAAACTGTTTCCACTGGCTGCAGGGTTGGGAGCTGGAGGGGTGCTAACTTTACCAGTCATGAAGCTGAGGGGAGGGGAGTTGTGGTCTTATGCAATATGTGACTTTCAACATCCTGTCTGAACGGATGTTGGAAATGGGTTCATTAGCAAGTTTCCAAAAGAAATTGGGTGAACTTTGGAGAGAACAAGGTGAGCAGGCCAGCTAGGCAGCTGTTTTGAGAGCTGATGTAGGCATAATGGGCAAATTGGCATCACCTATTCTGTGGATGGTACCACATCATTGAGGTTTCTAACTCAACACCCCTAGGGCCTTAAATACAATGAGTTGAAGAATGTGCTCTCTGGTGGAGTTGGTTTGTGAAATGGATCTGAGGGCAATGTGTCCTGACTTGGAGCCAGAGTTGCCTGAAGGAGGTGTAAGAACTGCAGATGCTGGAGTCAGATAAGTGTGGAGCTGGAGGAACACAGCAGGCCAGGCCAGGCAGCATCAGAGGAACAGGAAAGCTGATGTTTTGGGTCGGGACCTGTCTTCAGAAATGGGCTTTCCATTTAGCCCACTTTGTCCTGGGTGGACGATTTAGTCAGACCCCCTAAAGGCAATAATCACATGATCTTGTACCCCTTTGCAGTTCTGTCACTAGAAGTAGTCATGTTGAGATGTCTCATTCTAACCCTGACCCAGACTTTAATTTAATATGACATGTGTAGTTGGTATTTTGAGCACAGGCCCACAGTAGCCTCTTAGAAATATCAACTGGCCAGGTAATGAGATTGGAGAAAAGTGGGTAATTTTCTTTTCCAGTCTGTGTTTTTAATCTGATCAGAGTTGGCAATCAAATTTCTGGTGCAGAGACAAGCAGAGGGAGATAAAATCAGCCCTAGTTAGGGGTGATGGTATGACCAGTTGGTTGATGGCCTAAAGGAGCAGTTATCAGCTGAGACTTTTTCAAAAAAAAAGTGGCAGTGGTTACAAGCCAACACTTGAGTCCAAAAGGCCACAGTGCTGCTTGGGGATATCTGTCCCATAGGTGATGCTGTCACTGTTGGTACAGAGGCATAAATGAGAATTTGCATCTTGTCTGCATTCACTTTGTCTCAGTTCACCTGTAGCCTTTCCCTCAAACAGCTTGTGTTGAGTTCTGTGACCTTCCACAACAGAGACCCATGCAATTCGGCTAGCCTAGGTAGCTTGTGCTGACAGTCGAATGGAGTGTGGAGCTATTGCAATGAAAGAGAATCATTTGCTACACAGCAAGATCCTGCAGACAGCAAACAAAAAAAACCGCCCCTTTGACCTTGCCAGTGCTAATAAATCTGATCAGGAATTAAGGCAAACTTCTTTACCCAGAGCTTGCTTCCCTCTTGAAGAATTCCTGTCCCTCTGACTAAGCCTTTGGGTCATCCTTCCTAATATCTCCTTACATGGGTTGGTATCAAATTTTGTTCACTAGTTGTGTAAATCGCCTTGGGCAATCTTATGGTGGAAATGCTACACTAATACAAGCTGGTGGTGGTGCTCGTGTAGAAATTGAATGGAAGTAGTTTGTATTTCTGGGTATGGGATCAAACCAGTGAGAAAGGGACAGGAGAGTATGCTGGCAGGGTAAGATGAAGATAGTGCGATGGAGAGAGTGCAAGAAGATTTGCATGGACCACCTGCAGGAAACTGGCCTATTTGTGCTGCAAATCTGCAGTTAGAGAATTCCTCTCACTGTTTTACTGCCTCTTCCCAGAAACGAATGTCTGTGACTGAGGGAGGAATAAAGTACTCTGAGACCACCGAAGGAGGCCGGCCCAAGTTGGGTGGCCTGATGGACCCTCGCCAAGGTGTCATTGAAAGAACTGGAAGATGCCAGACTTGTGCAGGTGAGTGACTTTGCCTGGAAACAAAGCTCCATTGTGCTTGCCTCCCTGTGCTTAAAGCAAAATCTGTCAAACTCCCCTTGTAGCATTCTTTCTTGATGGCTGTCTCAGCAACATCTCTTTAGTTTGTGCAATGGTCCCTTTATTTGTGTTGTCCTTCTCTTAATCAGATTTTTGCATACATTTGCTATCCTGTAACATACTGGGGTTGTGATTCAGTAATGTAACAAGCCACAGGTCCAGATCAAACTCGGAAAGCTCAAATTTAAAGTTAATGAATTTAATTCACAGCAAAAGTGTTGGTCAGGAACAGTGAAAGGATCAGATGCCATAAATTTCTGAATTATGGATCTTGGGCCTGAAGGAAGCAAGTTCAGCTCTTGAGAGAGAGAGATGTAGGATTGATGGATAATGCTCCAGTCTCTAGTTGGTGTTATCTTGTGACAAGGTCCAGTTACGCAGTTTCTTAGAAGTGACGATTCTGGAGGGTTTCCTGTTTTGGTGCTTGCCCTCTTACTGAAACAGGACTATCTGATCCAGGTCTGCACTCTGCTTCATTCCAGTTACAGGGAGAGGGTGGATTGGCTGCGACAACTTCCCTGAAGTGTAGGAGCTGAGGTTTATAAATCATGAGGGTCGTAGATAAGGTGATTAGCCAAGGTTCTGAAGCCAAAACCAGAAGTGGATAAGTTTTTAAGGTCAGAGGGGAGACATTTAAAAGGGACCTGAAGGGCAGTGTTTTCTCTCAGGGTGATGCGTGTATGGAGCAAACTACCAGAAGGAGCAGTAGAAGGGAGTACAACTAGAACATTCAAAAGACATTTGGACAGGTATATTGATTGGACAGTTAAATGGATAGGAAAGGTTGAGGGGGATATGGGACAAACACCAGCAAATCTGGATGAGTACATGAATAGGAGGGATACAGGTCAAAGGCTGGCAAACAGGACTAGATCAGTTTAGGATATCTGGCTGGCATGGACAAGTTGGACCAATAAGGTCCGTGTCCATGCTGTATAACTCTGTTTAACTCTGACTGTATAAATGGAACTAGTTGAATTTGGGAAATGTGGTCGGCATGGAGTTGAGCCAAAGCGTCGATTTCTGTGCCGTATTACTTGACTCTAATTCTATTAGACATTTTGAGCAATCTACAAGATGCGGCATTTGTATGGTGCTGCTAACAATGTGAAATATCTGACCAAACTAAAGGAGATGTCACAGCAAGTAGGCAAATGCCTGCTCGTTGGTAATCTTTTGAAGGAGGTTTGTGTGAGAAATGACTATTAAGGGAAGGAGTTCCAGAGCTTGGGGCCCAGACAGCTCGAAGCAGGGCCACAAATGGTGGAACTATGGAAACTGGGGAGAAGCCACAGAGACCAGAATTGGAGGAGCTCAGATTTTAAGGTTGTGATCCGAGAAAGGGAGGAGGTGCCAGCTCAGGAGTTTGGAAACCAACTGAGAATTTTAAACTGTAGTGCTGGACCAGGAGCCAGGATCGATCAGTGAAACCAGGAGTGACATTCAGCCCTTTGAAGTTCAGTCTAATGTTCTAGTCTTCTAACCTTCCCTGTTTCTTCAGGGTGTTCTGTGTGTTTAATCAGTAGCTTTCAAAGGTATCAAAAAGGATTTCTGTTTTATGTTCTCAGCACTATCTCCAGTCTCTGCTGTCTCCAGCACCCTCCAGATCTCAAACCCCAAATATTCTGGCTGTTTTGCACCTGCAGAGTTGGGGATGAGGCAAAATTCTGACAAGACTTCGAACTTTCAGCCACATTTCCTGCAACTGTTATGTCTGGTGCTCAGAGTTTGAAATGACCTCCTGTCATTTCAAACACTTTTATTTTGTGCAGCACCCCTCCATTGGAAACCATCAACCTGCCTGGTTTTTTGTGGAGTCCGAATCATTGACACTGTCTGAAGAATTTGTTCATTGTGGTTTCCCCCTCAGTGTGGATAGGAGGTTTCTGGGTGAGGATTAATGAGGTTGGGTTGGGTTGAGGTGGATTTGAGTAAGAAACCTCCAGCCCATACACCTCCCCTGCCTCTAACCTCCTGTTAGGTGGAGGGATTTAATGGGGAGAATGGTAATGTAATGAAATGCCTCCCAGAAAAGAGGGCAGGACCTTTTTAAAGCCATTCATTGTGGAATGGACTGAATGGCCCCTCTGTTCATATGGTTTCTTCAACTACACCAGTTTGTATTTGCCAATTGTATAGGCCCTCGTGTTGAGGGGTAAGGACTCCTGGCTGATTGTTATTTCCTGAGGGGATCAGACTAGAGCCATGTCCTCTACAGTATCTGACAGTCCATTGTGTCCACTTTGTAGGTAACATGACCGAATGTCCTGGTCACTTTGGACATATCGAACTGGCAAAGCCTGTCTTTCATGTTGGCTTTCTTACAAAGACGATGAAAGTTCTCCGGTGTGTCTGTTTCTTCTGTTCCAAGTTGCTGGTAGATTCCGTAAGTAACGTTTTTTGTTTTTTTTGTTGTTTTTTTTTTTTTTGCATCATGTTTCCAGCCTCTCAGGCTGGCTCTGTGCTGGTATTTCTGCTCCCCGTGTTCCTTTTGCCAGTCTCTGTCCTTCTATTCCTTCCTCCCTTGTGTTTACCCAGCTTCCCCTTCAATACATCTGTCACTGCAGAATCTGTTGAGTGTATCTAAATGAGGGCATGCAATAGTGGATTTCCTCATGTTGTGGGTCCCTCGCTGCTCTGCACCTCCCTAGTGTTTACATCTGGGCATGAGGGTGCGAACTGTTGGTATCACTTGATCAGAAAACAGGGGCAGAAGGGGGGCACGGTTGGGTGACTGGATGTACCTGTGCTTTGGGCGGAGAAAAAAAGTGTGAATTGTCGGTCTAATCATTGGGAAATCTCTTGTCTCTTGTCATCACCAGAATAATCCCAAAATCAAAGACATCCTGATCAAATCGAAGGGGCAGCCCCGGAAACGCCTCACTCATGTCTATGACCTGTGCAAAGGGAAGAACATCTGTGAGGGGGGCGAGGAGATGGACAACAAGTTCGGAGTGGAGCAACAAGAGGGTGAGGAAGATCTCACCAAGGAGAAGGTAATCATTCCCCTGAGCATTTTACTCCATATCCCTGCAAGGCAATGTATAAGAGCTGGCCATCCATACAGTGGGCTGCAGCTCACTGAGAGCAATCCAATTAGTCTCCCTTTCCCTACACCTCGGCCTCTGTCACTTCTCCACTAATGGCTTTCTGTATCCAGTTTTTGTACCTTGCTCTTAAACTTGTCAAATATTCCATTGCCTCGTGTTCCCCACATTCTCATTACTGCATTTTCTCTTGAATCCCTGACAGGGGTCTATAGAATCATAGAGCTGTACAGCACGGAAACAGACCTCTTGGTCTAACTTGTCCATGCCGACCAGATATCATACATTAATCTAGTCCCATTTGCCAGCATTCAGCCCATTTCCCTCTAAACCCTTCCTAATAATATTCCCATCCAGATGCCTTTTTAAATGTTGTAATTGTACCAGCCTCCTCCACTTCCTCTGGCAGCTTGCTCCATTCATGCACCACCCTCTGCATGAAAGAGTTGCCCCTTTAGGTCGCTTTTAAATTGTACCCCTCTCACCTCAAACCTGTGCGCCCCCCCCCCCAGTTTTGAACTCCCCCCACCCTGGAGAAAAGACCTCACCTATTGACCCTATCCATGCCCCTCATGATTTTATAGACCTCTGGAAGGTCACCGCTCAGCCTGTGCTCCAGGGGACAGAAGCCCCAGCCCATCCAGCTTCTTGCTATAGTTCAAACCCTCCAACCTCTCGATGGGTTATCAGTGACTGTCTTTATATTTATGCCCCCCACTCCCCCCGCCCCCCGGTCTTTCCCATATCAACCTGTTAGTGTAATGTGTTTGTGGCTGGTGAGTGTGATGATTTGTGTGGTTTGTCCCTGCTTCAGGGTCACGGAGGCTGTGGTCGCTACCAGCCTCGCATTCGGAGGGTGGGCCTGGAGTTGTATGCTGAGTGGAAACATGTGAACGAAGACTCTCAAGAGAAGAAGATCCTGCTGAACCCAGAGCGCGTGTACGAGATCTTCAAGCGGATCACGGACGAGGAGTGCGTGATCCTGGGTATGGATCCCAAGTATGCGAAGCCAGAATGGATGATTCTAACGGTTCTTCCTGTGCCGCCGCTCTCTGTGCGTCCTGCTGTTGTCATGCAGGGCTCTGCCCGAAACCAGGTACTGTCCTTGTTGGGATCACTGTCCGAGTACTGTGGGCACTCCATGGGAAAGCAGAATATAATGGGTGACAGGAGAGCAGGTGGTGGGGAGCCAATGGGGATGTGAGGAGGGACAGACCAAGGTAGTAGGGGAGATGTCAGAAGGGATGGGCTTAAGGATTTGGGTTGTGGTTGGGTAGAGGGTTGTACAGGATAAGTGGCAGCATTAAGCGCAGAGGAAGAGGTTTGCATGAGTAGGAATTCCGAGTGGGATCCCAATCGGAACATCTAGGCACGTGGCTGGAGTCCGGATCTGTTTCAGCTTCACATCACCAAGTACTGGTGTATACACAGGCTGGTCATTAGTGTGGGGGGAATCAGAAGGCAGCTGTATCCCAGCAGGATGGAAAATGAGACACAGTTGGGGGCCAGAGAGAAAGGGAGTGAGCATTAGGGGTAAACCCAGCTGCTTGACACCAATCAGGGCTTGCGCTCTCAGTGACTTTCTTTGTAAATATATAACTGGTGCTGTTTTTCTCCATCTCAGGATGACCTGACCCACAAACTGGCTGACATTGTGAAAATTAACAATCAGCTGAGGAGAAATGAACAGAATGGAGCCGCAGCTCACGTCATTGCTGAGGACGTCAAACTCCTGCAGTTTCATGTGGCCACCATGGTTGACAATGAGCTGCCTGGACTGCCAAGGGTAAGTAGGGCTGGGCAATGTCACCACTGAGGCAAAGGTGCCCAGGTCCCTGCTGCAGAGGAATAGGAGGGTGGGAAGCCGAGATTGGTTCACATATGTTCCCACCTGTGGGAGTGGTTGCCTACTGGATTTCAAGCCGGAGTTCCAGCTATGTCATGTTGAGGTTGTACAGGACGATGGTGAAGCCTCTTCATGGAGTACTGTGTCCAGTTCTGGCCTTCCTGTTATAGGAAGGGTATTCTTAAGCCGGAGAGGGTTCAGAAGAGATTTACCAGGATCTTGCTGGTAATGGAAGGTTTAAGTTATAAGGAGGGGCTGGGTAGGCTGGAACTTCTTTCATGGAGTGTGGGAAGTTGACTGGTGACCTTTATAGAGGTTTATAACATCATGAGGGGCATGGGTAGGGTGAGTGGCAGGTTTCTTCCCCCTAAGCTGGGGGATCTCAAGACCAGAGGGTATATTTTTAAGGTGAGAATAGAAAGATTTTAAAGACATGAAGGGCAACTCTTTTAAACGCTGGTTCATATATAGAATGCGCTTCCAGAGGAAGTAGTGGGTGCTGGTGCAGTTACAATGTTTAAAAGACATTTTGGATAAGTACGTGAATAGCAAAGGTTTGGAGGGATGTGGGCCAGGAGCAGGCAGGTGGGACCAGTTTAGTTTGGGATTATGGTCCGCATGGACTGGTTGGACCAAAGGGTCTGTTTCAGACTCCTACAGCATGGACACTCTATTCCTATCCAGCAAGTTGTTTGGGGGAGGAGGGGAGAACCTGAAAGCTTCCCTCTTTGGGAGTGACATGCTTAAAGGACGAGTGTCAGTGTCTATGGAGACTTACCCTACTGACAAGAACTAATGTCTATGCTGGATCTGGCATGAACAGCATGGTGCTCAAGGGAGTGCTGCCATGTCAAAGCTGGCACCATTTGATGCAGCATTAAACCATGCTGCAGTGTGGTGTGGCGGATCCCACAGCCATGATAGAAAAGAGCTTATTCCTCAGTCGATGTCATTAAACTGGATTCTCATCTTAAATCATTCTTGAGATGTGGGTGTCGCAGGCTGGGCCCAGTATTTGTTGCCTGCCCCTAATTGCCCCTTGAGAAGGTGGTGGTGGACTGACAGTTTGAATTGTTGCAGTCTGATTACTTGATGTTTGTGGAACCTTGCTGCCCAAAAATGTATATTTTAAAATATACAGGGCTGACACCTTTTAGAATTTGTGCTTCAGGATGTGGGAGGTTAGGAGAGGTCTATTTAAGGAGCAAGACTTTCACTGCTTCTCCTATAGTGCTGCTGAGATAAAACCTGTCCTGTTACAAACAAGCAGCAGCTTGAATTGTACCATCCAATCGTGCAAACAAGTACAGGGGTTTCACAAGTCAATGACATCGCTCCTGTGCTGTACAGTTCTACTGATTGGGTTTTTTTTTTTAAAAACTTCAGGCAATGCAAAAGTCAGGCCGCCCACTGAAGTCCCTCAAACAGAGGCTGAAGGGGAAGGAAGGGCGTGTCCGTGGAAACCTAATGGGAAAACGTGTGGATTTCTCAGCACGTACAGTCATCACGCCTGATCCCAACCTCTCCATCGACCAGGTTGGTGTGCCACGATCCATTGCTGCCAACATGACCTTCCCAGAAATCGTCACGCCATTCAACATTGACAGGTTGGTGCACCTCGCTGGGACAGCAGACTGGTTGGCTGCCTGTTGTCATTCGTTTTGGAGAGATGTTGAATAGGGACCTGCCCTCTGTCTGATCGTGTCTCTTAAACACCCTAAGCATGTGGGGCAATTAGCACTGCATTGGAAGCTCACTGTTATTTAACCCAGCAAGGCCTGGGTCATTACTCAGCAGCATCAGAGTCTCTGGCAGTAGCTTGACCCTTTGTTTGTGATGCTTCTTTCTTACAGGCTCCAAGAGTTGGTGAGGAGAGGAAACAACCAGTATCCTGGTGCCAAGTACATCATCCGGGACAACGGTGATCGAATTGATTTGCGCTTTCATCCCAAACCCAGTGACCTTCATCTTCAAATCGGCTACAGAGTAAGTGCAAGGTGCCTGTAGCTGGGGTGCAGTTATACTGTCACTGCTGCTGCTGCCAAACAGTGGTTACCTCCAGCTCTGAAATGTGTGCTTGCTTGCTGTGGCTGGAAAAGGTACTACAGAAAAGCATGTCCTGCCCCTGTTTTTAGAGCTCTTGAGGATGTTGCTTTAACTTGGCCTTCAGGAAGGATACATGTTCTGTCACCCCCATCGCTTGCACTCCAGAGTAAATGATCATGTTCCTTGGGAGTTTGTACATGGAAGTTGCAGCTCAGACCAGGCTAAGCTTGGCTGTATTGAGTGCTGTATGGGAGAGGAGGAAGGTTTTGTCAAAAACTGCTTTGGATTCTGCCTGCACTGGTCACTTACAGTATGCCTGCTGTCCTTGTATTCCAGGTGGAAAGGCACATGTGCGACGGTGACATTGTCATCTTCAACCGACAGCCCACGCTGCACAAAATGTCCATGATGGGCCACAAGGTGCGGATCCTACCCTGGTCAACCTTTCGTCTCAATCTCAGGTGAGTGGTCTGCCTTCTTGCTGTCGCCTATCGGCATATCCTGCTTGTCCAACTTGCTCCTCTTTTTAAAAGTATCAACATTTTTGCCATGACTGTTGGAGCAAGTCCCACATTGTCGTCACTCTCTGGGTGAAGAAGCTTTTCTCGAATTCCTGAGGATTTGATGGTCCTTGGTTTTGTCTGGAAGTTTCTGTAGGTGTCAGCTCTGTGTGTGTCTTCTCAACCCCCAGCCCTCTGCCATTATCCTCCCTCGTGCAAGTGTTTTGCAATTGGCTAGTTGTTCAGTGTCTTAAGTGCCCATAAGACCTGTATTTGTCAGGCTGACCAGTCTGGAGTGTCCAGGGAGCTTTAGCTGACTGAGATTGCCCTCAATTGAATTGATGGCTGGAACTCCCCCCTCCCTTTCCCCACTGTCCTGTGCGAGCTGAGTCTGGTTTAACTCGTTATTGTGATGACTTAATAATTGGCTTGTGTTGCTGATAGTGTTTCTGATTCCGGATTGATGCATCAAGGAGGAACTGAGCTAAAACTAAAACAAAAACCAGGTGTAGCAGTCAATATCTGTGCAGTAAAAGTGGGCAAGGATCAGGTGATGGTGAAACAGGACTGAGTCCTGACTGTCATAGGCTGGATTGTCCAAGCCAGTGTGCTGGCTGCTGTGCTCCCTGTGGTCTTTGGCAGTTTATCGTTCCATAGGATCGGCTGTTTTTTAAAAGGCTAACAGAAGCTTTTTCCCCTGTCTCTCTACAGTGTGACCACTCCATACAATGCTGATTTTGATGGTGATGAAATGAATCTTCACTTGCCCCAGTCCCTGGAAACCCGAGCAGAGATCCAGGAGCTGGCCATGGTGCCCAGGATGATAGTCACCCCTCAGTCCAACAGGCCCGTCATGGGCATTGTGCAGGACACACTGACAGCTGTGCGCAAGTTCACCAAGCGGGACGTCTTCATGGACCGGGTAAGATGTGCAGTTTGTTTTCGAATAGACTGTTAAAGTTCTGGGTTCTAAATTTGTGCTTAGGAACTCTCCTCTGATTACATTCCACCCCCCGCCTCCATTCTGTGCCCAGTTTGTGCTGAGTGAACCTGCCGCAGTCAGGACTCTGAATCTAAGATGGTAATTATCATCAGTGACACAAACCTAGGGCAGCTACTGATGCTTCCTACAGTGTTTTGCTGGTGAGTGGACTCGGGGCAGCAGCTTCTTGGGAGTGAAAGCCATTTCTCAAGCTGACTAATGTGTGTGGAGCTTCCTAATGGAGGGAGTGCCCAGTTACTCCTGGTTATCAGGAGCAGTGATCACTCGGTGCCTGTAATGGGCTTCGTGGTAGAATAACCGCTTGACGTCTGTATCTTTAAGTTAGGTTGATATCTGGAACACTGTCTCCCTTGGGGGGTGTAAGTGGTAATGCTGTTGATGTTTGATTGCAGGAAACCTCTGACCTGTTTGTTCTTCCTCCTCGCCCCAGGGCGAAGTCATGAACCTGTTGATGCATCTCTCAACCTGGGATGGGAAAGTTCCCCAACCTTCCATCCTGAAACCGAGGCCGCTCTGGACTGGCAAGCAGATCTTCACCCTGGTCATCCCAGGCCACGTCAACTGTATTCGCACCCACAGCACTCACCCAGACGAAGAGGACAATGGCCCTTACAAACACATCTCACCAGGTGACACAAAGGTCAGCCCCAGCTTCTCTCTTCTCTCTTTCTGGCACCCCCTACTCCCCACAAAAAGAATCGTGCTGCTTTTGTACCTCATCAATAACCTGATCATAATATTCCTAGACTGATCAAATGCTGTACAGGAGCTGACAAGGGGGACGGTTGTGTAGTGTTTCCAATAGCCAACTTGGCCGTTCACTCTACACAATCCTCCTCCACCGCCCACCTCAAAATCTTCCTCACCCTATCAGCAGCCCTGAAGGGTCCTGACCTAAAACTTTGCTCCTCAGAAGCTGCCTGTTTCTCCAGTTCCACACTGTATCGACTCTGACTTCCAGCATCTGCACTCTTGCTGTCGCCTATCGGCATATCCTGCTTGTCCAACTTCCTCCTCTTAAAGTATCAACATTTTTGCCATGACTGTAGGAGCAAGTCCCACACTGTTGTCACTGTCTCTGGGTGAAGAAGCTTTTCTCGAATTCCTGAGGATTTGATGGTCTTTAGTTTTGGTCACCACCTCAAAGGATAGACTGAGACAACGTTTCCACTTCAAACCCCACACCGACTGTGAGCATTTCCTACAGAGTCTCACTTCAATCTCTTTCCTTCTAGAGAAGTAAATTCCCTTAGTTCTTGAGACATTCCTATCCATCTCTATTGCCTCTACACCCTCTGGAAAGTGGAGCTGTACACAGTACACCCATGTATGGAGTATGATCATCACACAAAACATCATTTTTACCCTGTCTTGGTTCTTGGGGATATTGTCAGTGTGACTGTGTTTTGAGTAGTAATGGAGGTAAAAAGATATTGACATGATTACAATATACCCAAGCTCAATTCTTCACCTTTTTAGTGAACAAAGCATACCTGTCAATATTGGGAGATTAAATTAGTTAGTCCCTTAGCTGAGTAACACATTAAATGCCTGAATCTTAGCAGCCTCCTCCAGTTTTGAGATGTCATGGTATCAGTTGGACAAAGCTAAACCATTCAACGTGTTTGAAGTATTAACACCAGGCAGTGTTGAATTTATTCCCTGGCACTGTAGCGCAGAATCTGTGCCTAATGGTGCATTGAAGGGGAAGGTAGCTTCAGTAAACACATGCAGTGTTGGCTCCCTGTGGATTTGACTGACAAGCTGCCTCTGGTTCCTCCCCCTCCTTGTCGTGCAGGTGGTTGTGGAGAACGGAGAGCTGATCATGGGCATCCTGTGCAAAAAATCGCTGGGTACGTCAGCTGGGTCCCTGGTACATATCACCTTCCTGGAGATGGGCCATGACATCACACGGCTGTTCTACAGCAACATCCAGACGGTCATCAACAACTGGTTATTGATTGAAGGTAACAGCTCACTGCACACTGGAGAAATGAAACTGCCAACATATCTCGGCGTTCAGCTCTGTCACTCCACTCCTCGTCCACTGGGCAGATTTAAAATTTCTCTTGTTTGTTGCCATCTTGTACAAAACTCTGCCCCTGCGATGGGGCATCAGGAGTGGGATGGAGTGAGGAGAGGGGCACCAGGGACAGTGGAAGCGGGTTCACTTTCAGAGGATTGACAAAAATACTTGCATAGGGCTGTAGGAAGGAAAGACTTCAAGGATGGTTTATCTTTGGCATTCTCCTCCCCAGACAGTAGTGAAGGCTAGATCATTGTCCTGAATATATTCTGATCCTTGACTGAAAGGGTTATTGGGGACTAGACAGGAAAGTGGAGATAAAGCTACAATTAAATCAATCTTATTGAATAGCGTAACAGGCCTACTCCAGCTCCAGTTGTTTTCTTTATGAAAATGAGTGGGAGACTGATGGACTAAATGGTAGCCTTCTGCATTGACAGATTTGAGTCTAGTGAATCCTCCTTCCCTCACACGACTGTGTTTTAATCATATCCGTGTAGATTCATACAGGAGGTACAGTAATACTGGAGTAAGTTACTGTGCTGCTTGACAGAATCCCACCTGTGATCAGCAAATCTGTTACTCCGACAGCTTGAAAAGTTCGAACCGTGGTCACCTGTTGTTAGGGCTGAGCTGCGGGAGAGAGGCCTTTCAGTTTGAGGAGACGACAGGTTTGCATTTCTTGTCTCTTTTGTCACCACCTTTTCTCTTTGTTTGTCTCTGTCTCTGTCTCTCCAGGGTCAAATGATCACTCCTGAGTGTGGTGCTCAGGCCTGAGCAGTAATTAATGTAGAAAGGCGAGCATGCAGCCCTTCGAGTCTGCTCCACTAGTCAGTGCAAGCACAGTTGGCTTCCTTTCTTAATGCCTCTCCCATCTGTCAATCTAATCCCTTGGTCAAAAATTTATACGATGAGAAAGTATAACGGCATGGATGCTGGAGATTGGAAATCAGAACAAAATGCTGGTGAAACTCTGGGTCGGGCACTGTCTTTGCAAGGTAGAGTTACTGTTGAGTCTGACTCTCATTCAGAAGAGATGTTAAACTTTAACAACGTTTGTTTTTCTCTCTCTGGATGCTGCCTGAACTGCTGAGTTTCTTCAGCATTGTTTTTATTTCTGCCTTGACACTGAAGAGTCCACAATCCTCTTGGATAGGGATTCCAGTGCTCCAGAGGAATATCTCCTTGTCTCAATTCTAAATGATCAACTCCTTTGTGGAGGTGCTGGACTGGGGTGGACAAAGTCAGAAGTTGTTTGACACCAGGGTATAGTCCAACAGGTGTGACTTCTGACTAACTCCTTTATTGTCTTTTTTAAGAAATGTGTTCTGTGGAAGTGAATAACCTCACTCTCTTGCCCACATTATATTGAACATGGTGTAAGCTTAGTTTTATACAACTCTATAAAACTTTGATTATATGTCCAGTGGCGTGGGGGCCCTCAGGATCAAGGACATGGCCCTTATTTGATCACAAACATTTTCTGATCCGTACTCTCTGCAGTGAATTTCAGGATCTCTGCTCACCTTGCCATCTGGATCAAATGTGTTGCACGTGTGTGATGAGTCTATAATGAACGCTGGAGCAGTGTTGGGATGGGTTGTCTGATCCTATCAAGGATTGTTTTTCAGGATGCAAAGTGAGGTTGAGATCTAATTGAAGGGGCAGGTTGGAGTGAGCTGAATGTTTTTGCTAACTGAGGCAGCAGACCAGGATGCATAGCCTGTGCAGGAATGACTGAAATGGGGACTGGACTCTCTCAAAATATATCTCCGTAACTTGACATCTTTATAAAGCTGCAGCTTTGCAGTCAGCAGGGGTAATGAGTGGTTTGGAGTCTTGTTTGTGCCTGAGAATTGCCACATTGGAAAGTTTTAATGGATGTTTTATTTAAGAGCCATATTTTATTTTACTCTGTGACAGGACACACGATTGGTATTGGAGACTCCATTGCTGATGCTAAAACTTACCAGGACATTCAGAACACCATTAAAAAGGCCAAACAGGATGTGATTGAGGTGAGTTTGCTGCCGCAATCCTTCCATTAGATGTGAGCAGCCCTTTGCTATGGTGTGATCTTTGTTTCCAGGCTGTCAGTTGGCAATCTCCTCTTGTCATTGCAGGTCATTGAGAAAGCTCACAACAACGAGTTGGAGCCCACTCCTGGTAACACCCTGAGGCAAACCTTCGAGAACCAGGTCAACCGAATCCTGAACGATGCCCGTGATAAGACTGGCTCCTCTGCACAGAAATCCCTCTCTGAATACAACAACTTCAAATCCATGGTCGTGGCTGGCTCCAAAGGATCGAAGATTAACATTTCACAGGTATGTTTTAATCCATTTGGAAATTGGGTGTCCCGTACCCAGTGTTGGTCACTTCTAAGTCTTGACATATGAAGTAGAGAATGGGACTTCCCAGTGAAGTGCCAACATGGGGGCCACTAGAATAAAGCTTCTACTCTATTAAACTCAAACTACAGCTCTTTGTTTACACCATCTCCAATGAACACTGTCTATACATAGACAGCGTGGAGTTAGGTACAGAGTAAAACTACCTCTACACCACTCCCATCAATCACTCCCGGGACAGGGACAGATTGGGGTGACGTACAGAGTAACAGATCTCTTTGATGCTCCCAGGTTATTGCTGTGGTCGGACAGCAGAACGTGGAGGGGAAGCGAATTCCCTTTGGTTTTAAGCACCGTACGCTGCCACACTTCATTAAGGATGACTACGGTCCTGAGAGCAGAGGCTTTGTGGAGAACTCTTACCTCGCTGGCCTGACCCCTACAGAGTTCTTCTTCCATGCAATGGGAGGCAGAGAGGGTCTGATTGATACCGCTGTGAAGACTGCAGAAACTGGTAATGCATTGTTTAACCATCTTGCTCCCTGTCAGTGCCTTTTTTGATGAGGGGGTAGAAATTTTTCCAGACACTGTACCGTTCCGAAATTAATGAGGTAGAATTCCATAAATTCTCCTTTCCTGGCTATGATCCTGGGTTTAAAACGCTTCCTGTTGCACCTGTCTTCAGGGTTTTCCATAACCCCTCCCTGAGTGATGGAATGCAGTTGCTGTCAAAATATAGGAGAGGCGGTGGGTAATTCTAAGCACAGCCCCATCCCACAGCAAGGATTGTATAATTCTGCTTTCGGTGCTGGGATGGAAGATACAAGTGAGTCCCCCTGCTGTTTGGGTTGTAGCCGTAGGGTGTTTTTTGTTTTCCCAGAGGGTGAAGATTGTCTTCCCTCAGAGGTTGCCTCTTGGTCTGTGCAGCACTCCCTCTGTACAGATTAACCACCCAGGAGGGGCCCATGATGGCCCTGGATCTTTCTGCACGTAAACTGGTTACTGCCTTCCCTACAGTACAACAGTAACTACACTTCACTTCTGGAAGCACCTAACTGGCTGTGAAGAGCTTTTGGGTGATAGATAATTGTCAAATGCTGTGCTAGACTCCCGCTGCCGTGCATCTTTTGTCTTTGAGGCCTCGGGGGTTGATGCTGCTGTTGTCAGGAAACACTTTGTAATGGAGGGTTTTCTTCTCCCCTGCTGCCCCTCAGGTTACATTCAGAGACGGTTAATCAAGTCTATGGAATCTGTGATGGTGAAATATGATGCAACAGTCCGCAACTCCATCAACCAAGTGATCCAGCTGCGTTATGGAGAAGATGGGCTGGCAGGGGAGTGTGTGGAGTTCCAAAACCTGGCATCAGTGAAACCATCCCACAAAAACTTTGAGAAGAAGTGAGTGTTGTCTTGTGTTAACCCCCAACTAGATGGTCGGGCCATTCAGCCCTTGTGCAATGTTTTATGTTGGAAACAGACAACAATAAAAAGAACAAGGGGCTCAACAGGGCTGTCAGAATTAGCAGGAAAGAGAAACCTATTCGTGATTTAAGTCATGACCCTTCTAACCTGAACAATAATCAGGATGCAGGTCTGACCTGCTCTGGTTAGGGCCTTTCATTGGGGCACTACTGCAGTCTTGGCTGCAGAAGATGCTGGATTTTGTTCAGTCCAATTCAAACACTGCCAAAAGTGTGTAAGGTTTCCATTACTTTGGATCAGGGCAATGCGGGTGAAAGCTTTGGCAGGTTAGTTGGGTGGAGGAAGGACATTACTGATTTTGGGGAAATTCTGACACGGCTGTTTCGTTTTTTTTTGTTTTGTGTTTTTTTCACCCCAACGCTGCAGGTTCAAACTGGAGTACAACAATGAACGAAGTTTACGCAGGACCCTGCAGGAAGACATTGTGAAGGAGATCCTCAGCAATGCTGCCATCCAGAATGAGCTGGAAGTGGAGTTTGAGAGGATGAAGGAAGACCGAGAGGTTCTGAGGGCTGTGTTCCCCACTGGAGACAGCAAGGTAGGACAGATTGCATCTCCCTGGAAACTCCCAGCAACCCAGTGTTTGTTTCTAATACATCATCCTGACTCCCTGTGCAGTGCTACCTTGTCAGTACTGCTGTCCCACAGTCTGAGACACCACCCTGGTATGTCTTGCCAGTTGATGCCAGTCTTCTGCCCAGTGGGGGAATTTGTGCCTCAAAGTTCTGAGTGGTGTTTAGTTTTGTAATCCATACCATGGTAATATAAAATTAGCCAGTCATTTGCCTTGCTGTCCTTGAGACCTATTAACCAACACTGCACTTCTGCGTTCTGTTCTCTCTCCCTGATGTACACGTGTAAGCTATGATTTGTCTAGTTAGTATGCAATGCAATACTTTTCACTATCTCTGTACATGTGACAATAATAAATCAAATTGTTACACTGTGAATAATTGGCAATGGGGTTCTTGTGGTGTAGTGGTAGTGTCCCAACCTTTGGACCAGGAGGCCTGGATTCGGGTCCCACCTGCTCCAGGGTGCGACGTAACATTCCTGAACAGGTTCATTCCAAAAAAAAAAATCCCAGAACAATAGAGGATATTTGAGAGATGCAAGTTGCGTTCTCTATAGACCATGTCTAAGCCAGATGATTAGGCGCAGGGTTGCTTTTTGCTAACTTTCTTTCCTTGCCTTTAGGTGGTGCTGCCCTGTAACCTCCTGCGAATGATCTGGAATGCTCAAAAAATCTTCCACATTAACACTCGGACGGTGACTGATCTACATCCAATCCGTGTGATTGAAGGTCAGTGATTTGTGAACCAGCTCCAACATTGCAGCTTTTGTCTGTCAGGGCTTCGTGTGAGAATTGTGCAGCACAAGTGGGTTATTCAGCTTCCATCAGGCCAGCTGGTGTTACTGAACGATCCTATCCTGCCTGTGCGCACACAGCTTCTCCGCACGCGCCCCCCCCCCCCCACCCTCCGCGCACAAAGAAAACCAGCATCTAACTCTTGTGAAAATGTAAACGACATTGGGGATTTGCTAAATTCCAATGTCTGGGGTGCAGGCAGCTGAACCTATGGCCTGAGTGGAGGAGTGATTTTTTTTTTAAATGTGGATTGAGAATTGAAGGACTGCAGAGACCTAGGCATTGATCTAAGACTGGCAGAGCTTAGAGATGGGAGAGGGATGAGACCCAAAGTTTTTACACTAGGCTATGAATGTTAAATTTTGCTCTTTGTTCTCTCTAATGGCGGAGAAGAATCTTTCGTGAGATGTGGGTGTTACTGACAAGGCCAGTATTTGCCCCTCCCCCACTGTTCCTGAGCGCTGCAGCCAAGCCATTTTCATAGTCCGTCACTGTGGGTCTGGAGTCACGTGCAGCCCAGACTGGGTAAAGATGGCAGATTTCCTTCCTCAAAGGGCATTAGTGAACCAGATGGATTTTTGTGACAATTGACAGCCGTTTCATGGGTCGCCATTAAACTAGTTTTTAATCTGACATTTCTGTTGAGTTCAGGTTTCACCATTTGTCACTGGGAGGATTGGTCTGGAGCTCTAAGCTATTAGATCAGTGACTACACCAGCACCTCCCCCTTGAAACATTTGCAGTGCTGAGAGAGGAGGAGAGGGTTTAATTGTATTCCAGAGAGCCTCAGGCTGTGCTGTGAGTTGGTTCCTTTGAAGAAGGCTTAGGAGGGAAGTGCTTGTTCACAGCCAGCATAGGGAGAGTGGGTCGAACAGCTATTTTCTGTTCTGTAACCGTTTGGGGGTTCCATTCTGAGAACACTGTCTTTGTTCCAGGGGTGAAGGAGCTGAGTAAGAAGCTAATCATTGTGAATGGTGAAGATCCCCTGAGTCGCCAGGCTCAGGAGAACGCTACGCTGCTGTTCAACATCCACCTGCGCTCCACTCTCTGCAGTCGACGTATGACTGAGGAATTCCGGCTCAGCGGAGAGGCCTTCGAGTGGCTGCTGGGGGAGATCGAAGCCAAGTTCAACCAGTCCATTGTACGTATTTGGCTGGCCTCTGTCACCTGGTGGGCTGAAGGGCAGGGGGGTGGGATTAGTGTGTTTGGGAGGAGTCTGTGCTGACTGGAGACTTTAACAGGGAGAGGTGGCCCACTCCTTGAACCAGTTTGACCAATCCATTCAGTTCATCTGTGTATAGTTAACTCTGTTGACCCACCTTGAATCCATAATCCTTCCCTAACACCTCTCTAGCAATCTCCATTCTGAAATGGCTGATCCCTTGTCCTGGGACTGTGACCCTGTGGTGAAACCTCCCCTCACTACCTCACCTGTTGGCTCCTTTCTGAACTTGGTGTGTTTCAATTCAACCAGCCCTCATTCCTCTTCACACTCTCTCCAGAGAATCTGAGACCCTCCCTACTCAATCCCCCTTATTCCAGGAATCTGCCTAAATTCACTGGTGACATGGCCATGCAGTGACAGTTTGGGGACCCTGCTGTTGTTAATTGTACTCTCTCATTGGGTACAACATAGAACAGTACAGCACAGGAATGGGCCCGTTGTGCCAAACATGACACTGGATTAAATGATTTCCTTTGCCTGACCTTGGCCCATATCCTTCCATCCCTGCATATTCATGTGCTTATCTGAAAGTCTCTTAGACGCCCCTATTGTATCTGACTGTTCCACCACCCCTGGCAGTGCATTCCACACTCCTACCACTCTGTTTTTTTAAAAAAAAACACTTCCCCCTCATATCTTTGAATTTCTCCCCTCGCCATAAATGCATACCCCCTGAGTTTTAGACATTTCCTCTCTTTGGGTGGAGGGTGGGGGGGGGGGGGGGGGGGGTGCCGCAGAAGATTCTGACAACAGCCTGATCGATGCATCTCATAATCTTCTGTCAAGTTTCTAGATGGCAAGTGCACAGGCACTGTGCACTATTCCTGTTGCCCTGAGAACGCTGATTCAAATTGTGAAGGAGGCTGAGGGGTGACCTTAGAGGTTTATAAAATCATGAGGGGCATGGATAAGGTGAATAGCTAAGGTCTCTTTGCTGGTTGGGGGGAGTCCAAAACTAGAAGGCATAGGTTTAAGGTGGGAAGGGAAAGATTTTAAAGACATGAGGGGCAACTTTTGAGTGGTTAGTTTGTGGAATGAACTGTCAGGAAGTGATGGATGTGGGTACAGTTACAACACTTAAGACATTTGGATAAGTTCATGAACAACAAGGCTTTGGATGGATACAGGCCAAGTGCAGGCAGGTGAGACTAGTTTAGTTTGGGAACACGGTTGGCATGGATTGGTTGGACTGAAGGGTCTGTTTCTGTGTTGTATGACTAACTCTGTCTTGTGATGCCCACTGCAGTCAAGTAACTGGTCACTGTCAAAAATCTCAGGTGAATGAGTGATATACTGGTGACTAGTCACCAGTTTAAGCCATATAGCAGTTGGTGTACTGGGATAGACAGGGTTACCCATTACTCAGCTGTTCTAGCAGGTCTTATGGAATTGACAATAGAGATGGTGACTGTTTAACCAAAGTAATAGCGAGGCTAGAGAGTTGGAAGTTTGTGCTTGAAACTTTGCTAATTATTTTTCCCTCCCCTCGTTTTCTTTGTTTCTCTCCCGGCCTTGTAGGCACACCCTGGGGAGATGGTGGGTGCTTTGGCTGCCCAGTCGCTGGGAGAGCCTGCCACACAGATGACCCTGAACACCTTCCACTACGCTGGTGTGTCAGCCAAGAACGTCACACTGGGTGTCCCTCGTCTGAAGGAGCTGATCAATATCTCTAAGAAGCCAAAGACCCCCTCGCTCACGGTCTTCCTGCTGGGCCAGTCCGCCCGGGATGCAGAACGTGCCAAGGTACGTGATCGAGCCTCTTCGACCGGGAGCAAGGGTGTTAACTATTTTAGACTGAGATGATGTTGAACTTGTATAAGCCACTGGTTAGACCCCAGTTTGAGTACTGTGTATGGTTGTGGGCATCTTTAGAAAGGATAGTTAATTGCTATTGTTTAAATATGTGATCTGGGTCAGGCTTGTGGCAGCTTGCTGTGTGTAAATCGGCTTCCACTGCTGATAATACAACAGTGACTGCACTTCTGAAGTGCCAAGGTTGTAACAGTACCTTGGGATGCCCTGAAAGGTGCTGCAGGGTCATGTTGAACTCCCCCACACACAGTTTATTTGTCCCTGTCGCCTGCATGTTGTCAGTCTAGGCTAAGCGTGTGAAGCAGAACACCCAGGGAGCACCGTCCCAACATGAGGTGTTCCCCAGGTCAGCAGATTTCCTGTGTCATGATGCCCGGTGCCTGTTCTTGCAGGATATCCTGTGCCGACTGGAGCACACCACCTTGAGGAAGGTCACGGCCAACACTGCCATCTATTACGACCCTGACCCCCAGAACACTGTGGTCTCAGAGGACCAGGAGTGGGTCAATGTCTACTACGAAATGCCAGACTTTGACGTGACAAGGATCTCCCCCTGGCTTCTACGCATCGAGCTTGACCGTAAGCACATGACTGACCGAAAGCTGACCATGGAGCAGATTGCAGAGAAAATCAACGCTGGTGAGAAACTTGGCAGCTTGTGCTGTAACTTTGGTCTGTCTGAAAGTGATGCTAGATGGGGGTTGCTTGCTCAGCAGTGTGAAATGAGGCCAGTTGTTTTGCAAAACTCACTGTCAATGTAATGTCAATTGCTAGCTCCGTGCCATTGCACAGTATAACACCCAATGGTACTTTGTACCCAACAGGTTTCGGTGATGATTTAAACTGCATCTTTAATGATGACAATGCGGAGAAACTGGTTCTCAGAATTCGGATCATGAACAGTGACGAGAATAAATTTCAAGAGGTGAGATTAGGTGTGGGACCCTGGGAGCAATGTACCAGTTACCTGAGGGGGACAGTGTAGAGGGAGCTTTACTCTGTATCTAACCCCGTGCTGTCTCTGTCGTAGAATCCCTACAGTGCAGAACCAGGCCATTCGGCCCATTGAGTCCACACCAACTATCAAAGAGCATTCCGCCCCCTATCCTATACCTGTAATCTTGCATTTCCCATGGCTAACCCATCTAGCTTGTACATCCCTGGACATTAATGGCCGATCCACCCTAACCTGCACATTTTGACTGGGGAGAAACCAGAGCACCCAGAAGAAACCCATGTAGATATGGGGAGAAGGTGCAAACTCCATATGGACTGAGGGTGGAATTGAACCCAGGCTCCTGGTGCTGTCAGGCAGCAGTGCTAACCACTGAGCCACCTTGGGAGTGTTTGGGGGACAGTGTAGAGTAAGCTTTACTTTGTATCTAACCCCATACTCTCCCTATCCTGGGAATGTTTGTGTAGTGGAGCTTTAGTGAAACAGGAAATCTTGCCTTTCCTGTCCTGAGTGTAATAGATTCCCCTGTGGTTTTCACTTGGCGTGACTGTCACTGACCCACTGTAATGTTGCCTGTTTTGTTGCAGCAAGAGGAGGAAGTGGTGGATAAGATGGATGATGATGTGTTCCTGCGCTGTATTGAATCGAACATGCTGACAGACATGACACTACAGGGGATTGAACAGATCAGCAAGGTGAGGCCCTGGATGGAGTGATAGCAGTTGGCCTGATGACTGGTTTCTGGATTAGGGAGTGCTGCATTCGGGTGGATAAAGAGATGCACAACAAGGAAACATTGAAAATGGGAGCTGAATTAGGCCTTTTGAACTTACGAGCCTGCTCTGCCATGTAGTAGGATCATGGCTAATATCTAATTTAATACCCTGTTTTCAGTTTCTTTGAGACAAGGCAGTGACTAATCCATCCAATTGGGAATGAGGAGGAACTACTCCACTTAGTGGGTAAATGTGGAACTCTGTTTCCCCCAGGAAGTGGCTGAGGCAGTAACTCCAATACGCTTGAGGCTAATAAATAAACATTCAAGGGAGGAAAGAGACAGACCCACTGAGGGGGTGGGAGGGGGCTTGTATGAAATGCCAGCACAGAACAGATGGACCTAGTGGCCTGTTTGGATGCTGTAGACCAGTGATTCAATCATTAGTGCACTCCGTAAAAAGTAGGAGTCTTCCCCAAAGGCTGCTTCTAAACTGAAACAAAATGGCAAAATATCTTTAAACAAAATACAGATCACAGTGGAGTAAATAGAAAATTGCAAAAAGCAGGATTTGGGTTCTATCAACCTGACGTTTTTCCTGAATACCTGCTTACTCTGTATTTACTACAGTCTCAGGACACTGTCCTGCCCTGAATTACTCTACCTGGCTGCTAATGACCATCTTCAATCTTCCCCTGGTATCCGTAGTCTACACTGGGGCATTCTTGAGTAGCAATGATGATTAACTTTGCTGTATAAACTGCCTGGGTTTTTGCTTTATTAACACTTTTTTTTTCTCCCCAATCTCTCTCTTCCCCCTGTGCTGTGGTCTCTGCCCACTCCAGGTGTACATGCATCTCCCTCAGACTGACAACAAAAAGAAGATCATTATTACAGAGGATGGGGAGTTTAAGGCTCTCCAGGAGTGGATTCTGGAGACAGATGGAGTCAGCCTCATGAGGGTGCTGAGTGAGAAGGATGTGGATCCAGTCCGTACAACATCCAACGACATTGTGGAGATCTTCACGGTAACTCTCCAGGGTTCTGCTTTGACCCAGCACTGCTCCCTGCCGTCCTGGGGTAGATCTGGACCAGCTCCCAAGTTCAGCAATGTTGTGTTTTTTTTTTTTAAAAAGCACATTGCCAGGATTTCAATGCCTCGACCCCCATCTCTGTAACCTCCCCAACTCAGAACCACAGACCACAGCTTTCCTTTAATTCCAGCCTTGTGCGCAAACTCCTCTTTAAATGAAGACAGTCCTTTTTTTATAAAATTTGCCTCCTCATTAATGAAGCATTTTGCCTGTCTTCTGCCCTCCTGATATGACAGTGTCAGATTGTCAGTAAATACTCCCACGAGGGACCTTGGGGCATTTGATCGTAAAAGGGGCTCCTTAAAAGGTGTTGATTTTCAGTGTCTCTGGGTTTTTGACTGTTAACCATAATTTGGTGAGGCTGTAGGCTGCAGAGTTAAACTACCGATTTGTTCATGGAATCTTCCTGTCCCAGGTTCTGGGAATTGAAGCCGTGCGGAAAGCCTTGGAGCGGGAGCTGTATCACGTCATCTCCTTCGATGGCTCCTACGTTAACTATCGCCACTTGTCGCTGCTGTGTGACACCATGACATGCCGGGGTCACTTGATGGCCATCACCCGTCACGGAGTGAACAGGCAGGATACCGGGCCACTGATGAAGTGTTCCTTTGAGGAGACGGTAAGTGTGTGTGCGATGGTACAGGTCAGGCAGACCAGGCTCAGGGTTTGCTACATGAGCATTAGATGTATTTATGAAGTGGAGTGCAGCTATCACTGGGTGGGTGCTGGTGGAGACTGTACTGTTGGGGCAGTGCTGTAGTAGTGGGGGGAGAATAGACTCTGCAGTGATGCAGGGACACATGTCGTGTGCTATATGGTTGGGGGGGATGGTGTTGCTGGGAAGCCACACTGTCACAGACTCGGCCCTCCTTTTGTTTTTATACCTTCCCCTGAGGTAGGCATAAAAGTCTCCTATTTTGGAGACTAGTAGGGAGTGCTGACCTGTGCACAAATAGGGCATTGTGCCGCCTTCAATATACTAGCTGGGGGGAGCTTCTCCTGAGAGTTTTGTACAGTCTAACCAGCAGGGGGGGGGAAAATGTCCCTGTTGGTACCCAAAGGAAAGGTGTTGAAGTTGAGGGAAGAGGTTACTAAGACCTCTCTCCTTGTGTCAAGGTGCTCCCTAGCAGTGAGCAGAATCCTAGGTGATACTGATGCTGGTCTGGGAAGTTCAGGGGTGAAAGAGTGGTTTACATCTGCAATAGCAAGCTGAAGGAATAGATCCCATGCGTATCCTTCCGGCCTGCTGCTCGCTCACAGTCCCATCCAGCGTGTCCCTCCCTTTTGTCATTAACCCTTTGTCTCTGTCACCAGGTGGATGTTTTAATGGAGGCCTCAGCTCACGGTGAGATGGACCCAATGAAGGGGGTGTCTGAGAACATCATGCTGGGCCAGCTCGCCCCAGCAGGAACCGGATCGTTTGACCTGCTGCTCGATGCTGAGAAATGCAAGTACGGCATGGAGATCCCAACCAACATCGGGGGCCTGGGAGTCGGAGGCCGTGAGTTTTCACCCTTTTCTTACTCAAAAATCTCCAATGTACAGCAAGTGATGCCCATTGAAAACAGTCTCCTGGCTGAGGAATAGAAAGAACCTTGTGAGGGGGATGTAGGTGGGATGTCACCGATTTACAGGCAGGGCTGCTATAAGAGCACAGCAGAGACAGGGGCTTGACTGAAGTGAGTGTGACCCTGTCTAAAATGTGTTCGCTGTAACAGACTGATTTCAATGTACAGTCTTGCATTTCCACAGCACCCCCCTCAGCCACTGGACCATCTCCCAGGTTTCTCCTTGAAGAATAGTCACAAGGTGAACAGGGAGGTAATTCTCTCCCGAGTCGAGAGGGAGCTTTCAGGCTCTTGTTTTAAGGTTATTGCTGAGACCTTTTTTGCCTGGCAGAAGTTAGTGTTCACATCAATAACTGAGCTACAGAGCAAGGAGCAAGTGGAATTCAGTAACCTGAGTCAGAAGGACCCTGTCACCACCTGAAGCAGCTCATAAGTTCCACCAGTTATTGTGTCCCAGGTTCTCATTTCCACCTGAGAGCTTGTGAATTCCAAGTCTCTAATTGAAACCAATTTTCAACACCGCGATGTTCTTCCTTGTCTGTGATCACGGACTAATAGCCCCAGCCAGTGTGTGAACATTTGTATGAATAACCTCATCTGAACAAATCTAGCCCCAAATTCTTGGCATTGAAATTGCCAGTGAAGTAAGTTGGACTGTACCTCCCCAAAAACTGTAACTTGATTCCATGTAGTGGGGGTGGGAGGTTGTTTTTGTTTCAGCCCTGAGGATTTCACTTGGTGCAAACACTTGACTCTGGTGATAAGCTGTGCCAGGTGAGTCAAGGAATGGTCAGGTGATGGCAGCGTTGTATGTTTAAAGGCAGAGGGAGAGGAGTGAGGTTTAGGGAAGGGATTCCAGTGGGCACTAATGGTGGCAATTGCGGAATGTGCAAGAGGCTGGAACAGGAGGAGGGTACAGGTTGGCAAGGGTGGGTGAGATTATGGAGGGATTTGAAAATAAAGATGAGAATTTTTAAAAGCAAAGGCCCAAGAGCTAATGGAGGCCAGCAGCATGGATCTGGTCTAGGTATCTGAGTAACACTTCCTTTTTATTTACAGCTACCGGGATGTTCTTTGGCTCTGCCCCCAGCCCAATGGGAGGGATGTCTCCAGCAATGACCCCATGGAATCAGGGGGCAACTCCAGCTTATGGAGCCTGGTCCCCCAGTGTGGGTAAGTGTAGAGGCTATTTCTCCTGAGTGCCCACAAGCTGCACAGATGCTGAATATTACCTTCGCTGTTGTTTTACCATTTGAAAAGACTAATAATTTTTCTCTGGCCTATTCCTTGTGTTACAGGCAGTGGAATGACCCCGGGAGCTGCCGGCTTCTCTCCCAGTGCAGCGTCCGATGCTAGTGGCTTCAGTCCCGGATACTCTCCAGCATGGTCCCCCACCCCCGGCTCTCCTGGATCCCCTGGTCCATCCAGTCCCTACATTCCTTCTCCAGGTCAGTGATGGATTCCCCTCAGTAATATGTCCAGTCCTGGGAACCTTTACCGTGGTGATTGAGTGAACAAAGACCAGATTAAATGTGGGGTTTACAGACAATGTACAGGCCTGACTAGTTGGTGCTCTGTATAAAGTCGAGGGGTGTAGAATAAGAGACAGCAGTTCAAACAAGTCTAATGTCTATCAATTGTTTGTTCTGGTTCCAATAATGGAGTCCTTCTCTCTGCCTTTCTGGGGGGGGGGTTGGGTTGGGCCTATCCTCATTGGAGTTTAGAAGAATGATCATTGATCTTTTTGAAACCTAGAGGGTCCTGAAGGGACTGGACAGGGTGAAATGCTGAATCCTGCCTTGTGGCAGAGACTAGAACCAGAGGCTGAAATTTGGACATTGTATGGGAGGGGAGGGGGTTCTCCCATTTAAGACCAGGACGAGGAGAGCTGTTCAGTCACGGGTCGAGGAAGGTCTGTCTTCCCAGAGTGTGGTGGGAGGGACCAGTGTCTGTGATTGGAGACAGAGATTGATGACAAATGGCAAGGAGTGGCTAGCTGTGATCTTATCCTGTTGTATAACAGGTTCAAGGAGCAGAATGGCTGCCTTCTCTTCCATTTCCAATTTGCTCTGAATTTTAGGAACCTTCAAAAGTCAAGTCTCTAGTTGTACTTTCTAAAGGCTAAAAGATCCACCTATTTGGTCTTCCCTAATCACGGTGACATCTGTTTGGCTAAGAGATGTTGATGTTTAGATTTTCTCTGAGCAGTAATTGACTTTTTTTTTGTGCGCTCTCTAGGTGGAGCAATGTCTCCCAGTTACTCACCAACCTCTCCTGCCTATGAGCCAAGGTCTCCTGGTGGTTATACTCCTCAGAGCCCCAGCTACTCACCCACCTCACCCTCCTACAGTCCCACCTCACCCTCCTACTCCCCCACCAGCCCGAACTACAGTCCGACCAGCCCCAGCTACAGTCCGACATCCCCCAGCTACAGCCCGACATCCCCCAGCTACAGCCCGACCAGTCCCTCCTACTCCCCCACCTCCCCTTCATATTCCCCCACTAGCCCCAGTTACTCCCCAACCTCCCCTAGTTACTCACCAACTAGTCCCAGTTACAGCCCGACTTCACCCAGTTACTCCCCAACCAGTCCCTCATACAGCCCTACCTCGCCCAGTTACTCCCCGACCTCCCCCTCCTATTCCCCCACCTCACCATCTTACAGCCCCACCTCTCCTAGTTATTCTCCCACCTCCCCCAACTATACTCCCACCTCCCCCAACTACAGCCCCACCAGCCCCAGTTACAGTCCCACTTCTCCCAGTTATACCCCCACCTCTCCCAACTACAGTCCCACCTCACCCAGTTACAGTCCCACTTCTCCCAGTTACAGCCCTACCTCCCCCAGTTACTCTCCCTCCAGCCCTCGCTACACCCCTCAGTCACCAACCTACACTCCCAGCTCTCCCAGTTACAGCCCCAGCAGCCCAAGTTACTCCCCAACCAGCCCCAAATACTCCCCCACCAGCCCCTCCTATAGCCCCAGCTCTCCAGAATACACACCTACGTCTCCAAAATACAGCCCCACCAGCCCCAAATACAGTCCCACCAGCCCGAAATATTCCCCGACCTCCCCTACCTACTCTCCCACCACACCCAAGTACAGCCCGACCAGCCCCACCTACTCCCCCCCCTCCCCCGTATACACCCCCACCTCTCCCAAGTACTCACCCACCTCTCCCACCTATTCTCCTACCTCCCCAAAATATTCACCCACCTCTCCCACCTACTCTCCCACCAGCCCCAAGGGCTCAACCTACTCTCCCACTTCCCCGGGCTACTCTCCCACTTCACCGACCTACAGCCTCACCAGTCCAGCCATCAGCCCCGAGGACAGCGACGAGGAGAACTGAGGCTGAGAGGGGGACCGAGCGAGAACCTGGCTCCTCCATGGCCTGTGTGTGCAGTTGGCACCTGTCTGCACCTCCTACTATCAAGGCTCTCGCCCTGTTTCAACTGGACTCAAACTTGCTGATGTTTCATGTTTGCTGTTGGGGGAATGAAGGAGCAGTGCAATTCTGGAACGTTTTTAAAAATAAATGCAAGATACAGAAGAAGGAAAAATCTAAACTGTATAATTTGAATATATATATACTTTTTGTTTTGGACCTTTTCTTTTGAATTCTGGGTGCAGTGCCTGGGCTGCAGTGAGAATTTTAGGCAGTGTTTACCCACCACTGCACCTGGACCAGTGTGAATTTCCATTCTTGTGTTCTGTGGGAAATAAATGCTCCTCTGCCATTTTTTTGTCAGATGTTCCCTGGGTAACGTAGGCTCTCTGTCAAGCTCCTAATGGGTTTCTTTATACATGGACATAAAAGTGCTTTAAGGATGGTGATCAGAGAGTGTGTTACCCTATTTCTGAGGAGCCTGTGCCTGGGTAACTCTCATTGAGAGGGGTAGGCATCAGCGACTAACCAATCGGATGGATGTGTGAAATACATGACCATTTCCCTGTTTCCCTCCACCCCCACATTCAGCAGAGAATGGGCCCTTTTTTTTTAGGGTAGGGTGGGGTACTGGATGTTTCTTAAACAGACTTGTTCTGATGTGACTCTTGTGACTTAACTGTAAAAACAGGATATGAAAGGTGTTTAAAAAGGGGCAGCATTTACCTGCCTGATTTATGTACAGAACATTTACTAGTCTTTTCCTGTTTTCTCTTTGGAAATGTTGGAAATATACTTAAATAAAGTTTTACTAATTTTTGTGGAGCGTGGGTTCTGTGTCCTTATATTTTAAAAAGGCTGCATTCATTTGTGCTGTTCAAACATCCTCAACTGATTGGACAATCACCTAACCACTTGCTGTTGATGTTTGATGGCATTATCATGACTGCAAGTGCCCATTATCAACATCCTGGGGGTTCCTATTGACCCAGAACTGAACTGGACCAGTCCTTTAGATACAATAGCTACAACAGCAGGTCAGAGTCTAGTAATCCTGTAGAAGATAACTCCCCTCCTGACTCACCCAAAGCCTGTCCCACCATCTACAAGGCAGGAGTGTGATGGAATACTCCCCACTTGCCCTGGATGGGGGCAGCTCCAACAACACAAGAAGCTCGACACCATCCAGGACAAAGTAGCCCCTGCTTGGTTGGTACCACACCCACAAACACCCCCCCCCCCCCCCACTGCCGACACTCAGTAGCAGCAGGGTGTACCATCTACAAGATGCACTGCAGAAATTCAAAGATCCTCCAAACTCTCATCCACTTCCATCTAGAAGGATAAGGGCAGCAGATACATGGAAACGCCACCCCCTGCAAGTTCCCCTCCAAGCTGCTCACTATCCTGACTTGGGAATATATTACTGTTCCTTCAGTATTGCTGGGTCAAAATCCTGGAATTCCTGAAGGGGTATTGTAGGTCTGCCTACAGCACATAGACTGCAGTGGTTCGAGAAGGCAGCTCATCACTACCACCTTCTCGACAGGCAGTTAGGGACAGGCAATTAATACTGGCCTTGCTGATATTGCAGGAATTAACATTTTATTGTGCACTCTGCTCCAAGGTGTGGAAACGAGTGTGAAGGAAAATTGCAGATAGAAAAATACAATGTAAACTGATGCAAATATTTAGTAGCCTCTGGTTTGAGTGATTGGTGACCATGTGAATTCTGAGTAAGCCCTATGTGCTGTGCGAGGCCTGGCATGATTGGGTATATAGTTCTTGCTGTCACCTAGGGCTAGGACCATGAGTTGGGCAGAAGGACCTCCTGGTGAGGTGTGGGCAATGTCATTCAACCAGTCATCTGGAAGCTTGGGCTAATATTCCAAGGATATGAATTTGAATCTTGCTGTGTCAGCTGATGAAATTTGATTTGGTAAATTAGAAACCTGGCCAAGTAAGAACTGCACGACCATTGTCTGTTGACATTAACTCAATTGTTACAGTGCAGCAGGAGGCCTATAGGGCCTAAACACTTCAAAATAAGAACCAGAAGCAGGAGTGGGCTATTTGGCCCCCTGAGCCTGCTCCACCATTCAATTAGATCATGGCTGATCCTCTTTGTGAACTCAGCTCCACTGACCTGCCCACTCACCATAACCTTCAATTCCTTTACCTGTACAAAAATCTACCTTTCTTCGTCTCAAAACATTTAATGAGGAAGCCTCAACTACTTCACTGGGCAGGGAATTCCACAGAATCACAAACCTTTGGGTGAAGAAGTTCCTCCTCAACTCAGTCCTAAATCTGCTTCCTCCATTATTTTGAGACTATGCCGCCCCCCCCCCCCCCCCCCCCCCCCCCCAGTCCAGGTTCCCCCACCCGTGGAAAACACTTCCCTGCTTCTATCTTATCAATTCCCTTTGTAATTTTAGATGTTTCTATAAGATCCCCTTCATCCTTCTAAATTCCAATGAGTATAGTCCCAGTCTACTCCATCTCTCCTCATAAGCCAACCCTCTCAACTCCAGAACCAACCTGGTGAACCTCCTCTGCACCCCCTCCCAGTGCCAGTAACATCTTTTCTCAAGTAAGGAGACCATAACTGTACACAGTACTCCAGGTGTGGTCTCACCAGCACCTTGTACAGCTGCAGCATAACCTCCCTGTTTTTAAACTCTATCCCTCTGGCAATGGAGGACAATATTCCATTTGCTGCCTTAATTACCTGCTGCATCTGCAAACCAACTTTTTGTGATTCATGCACAAGGACACCCAGGTCCCTCTGCACAGCAGCATGCTGCAATGTTTCACCGTTTAAATAATCATCCGTTTTGATGTTATTCTGACCAAAATGGATGACCTTGCCAACATTGTACTCCATCTGTCAGACACTTGCCCACTCACTTAACCTATCGATATTCCTCTGTAGACTTTCAGTGTCCCCTGCACAATTTGCTCTACTACTCATCTTAGTGTCATCTGTGATTTTTGACACACTTTACTTGGTCCCCAACTCCAAATCATCTATCTAAATTATAAAGAAAAACAACTTAGTGCCAATCTCCTGCCTTTTCCCCTTGTATCTATCTGTGCTCACCATTTCTACCGAAATAGACATCTAATGTCCCTCTCAAATTCTCCATCGAACTTGGCTTCTATCTGGTTCACTGATGTTCTCTAGGGAGGGAAATCTGCTGTTCTTACCTGGTCTGGCCTACACATGACTCCAGACCCACAGCCAAAATGGAAAAGCCGAGTGAGTCACTCAGTACAAGGGCAATTAGGGACGGGCAATATATGCTGGCCTTGAGTATAAAGAGAAGCTAATCTTACAGCACTTCCCACCTAACTGTACCAGCATGTAAACTACATGGCTGTTACTACAGGGGCAGTACAGTTAACTTCACAAAGCATTCATGGATCCACACAAACAAGCAAATGTCAACAGTGTGAAGGAAAACTCTCTGTCTATTAATAGACATAAGAAATGGAACAGGTTAGGCCATTCGGCCCCTCGCGCTTGGTCTACCATTCAACAGGATCATGGCTGATCCAACATTCCTCATTTCCCCTGTAACCCTCGATTTCCCGACTGATCAAGAATCCATTGATCTCAGTCTTCAATATGCACAAGGACTCTGCTCCCACAGCTCTCTGTGGCAAAGACTCACAACCCTTTGAGATAAGAAATTCCTCCTCAACTCAGTTTTAAATTGGTACTGACTAGAGGGGAGGCCATGTTGGATTTGGTGCTAGGCAACGAACCAGGCCAGGTGTCAGATCTCTCGGTGGGAGACCATTTCGGTGATAGCGATCACAACTTTACTACAGTCATGGACAGGGATAGGAGCAGACGGTATGGGAAAGTATTTAATTGGGGGAGGGGGAATTACAATGCTATTAGGCAGGAACTGCAGAGCATAAATTGGGATCAGATGTTCTCAGGGAAATGCACGGCAGAGATGTGGAGGTTGTTTAGGGAGCATTTGCTACAAGTACTGGATAGTTTTGTCCCACTGAGGCAAGGAAGGGATGGTAAGGTGAAGCAACCTTGGATGACAAGACATGTTGAACACCTAGTCAAGAGAAAGAAGGAAGCTTTCTTCAGGTTGAGGAAGCAAGGACCAGACAAGGCTCTGGAGGTCTACAAGGTAGCCAGGAAGGAACTGAAGAATGGTCTTAGGAGAGCTAGAAGGGGGTATGAAAAAACCTTGGTGGGTTGGATTAAGGAAAACCCCAAGGCGTTCTATGCTTATGTGAGGAACAAGAGGATGGCCAGAGTGAGGGTACGGCCAATCAGGGATAGTGGAGGGAACTTGTGCATGGAGTCAGAGTAGGTAGGGGAGGTCCTTAATTAATACTTTGCTTCAGTATTTACCAATGAGATGGACATTGACGTTTGTGAGAACAGCATGAAACAGGCAGATATGTTCGAACAGGTTGACGTTAGGAAGGAGGATGTGCTACAAATTTTGAAAAACATGAGGATAGATAGTCCCCTGGGCCAGACAGGATATACCCAAGGTTACTACGGGAAGCGAGGGAAGAGACTGATGCCCCTTTGGCGATGATCTTTGCATCCTCACTGTCCACTGGAGTAGTACCAGATAATTGGAGGGTGGCAGATGTCATTCCCTTGTTCAAGAAAGGGAATAGGGATAATCCTGGAAATTACAGACTGGTCAGTCTTTCTTCTGTGGTGGGCAAATTATTGGAGAGGATTCTGAGAGATAGTATTTATGATTATTTGTGGATGACACCAAAGTTGGTGGAGTTGTGGATAGTGCGGAAGGATGTTGCAGGTTACAGAGGGACATAGATAAGCTGCAGAGCTGGGCTGAGAGGTGGCAAATGGAGTTTAATGCGGAAAAGTGTGAGGTGATTCACTTTGGAAGGAGTAACAGGAATACAGAGTACTGGGCTAATGGTAAGATTCTTGGTAGTGTAGATGCGCAGAAAGATCTCGGTGTCCATGTGCATAGATCACTGAAAGTTGCCACCCAGGTTGATAGCGTTGTTAAGAAGGCGTACAGTATGTTAGGTTTTATTGGTAGAGGGATTGAGTTTCGGAGCCATGAGGTCATGTTGCAGCTGTACAAAACTCTGGTGCGGCCGCACTTGGAGTATTGCGTACAGTTCTGGTCGCCGCATTATAGGAAGGATGTGGAAGCATTGGAAAGGGTGCAGAGGAGATTTACCAGGATGTTGCCTGGTATGGAGGGAAGGTCTTATGAGGAAAGGCTGAGGGTCTTGAGGCTGTTTTCGTTAGAGAGAAGAAGGTTAAGAGGTGACTTAATAGAGACATACAAGATGATCAGAGGATTAGATAGGGTGGACAGTGGGAGCCTTTTTCCTCGGATGGTGATGGCTAGCACGAGGGGACATAGCTTTAAATTGAGGGGTGATAGATATAGGACAGATGTCAGAGGTAGGTTCTTTACTCAGAGAGTAGTAAGGGCGTGGAATGCCTTGCCTGCAAAAATAGTTGACTCGCCAACTTTAAGGGCATTTAAATGGTCATTGGATAAACATATGGATGATAATAGAATAGTGTAGGTTAGATGGGCTTCAGATTGGTTTCACAGGTCGGCGCAACATCGAGGGCCGAAGGGCCTGTACTGCGCTGTAATGTTCTATGTTCTATGTTCTATTATTTGGAAAAGCACAGTTTGATTAGAAGCAGTCAGCACGGCTTTGTGAGGGGCAGGTCATGCTTCAAAAGCCTTATTGAATTCTTTGAGGATGTGACAAAACAGATTGATGAAGGTCGAGCAGTGAATGCGGTGTATATGGATTTTAGCAAGGCATTCGGTAAGGTT